ATAAAAACTCTCTTTCCCCTCATTCCAACAAGAAGAAAAAAAGAAAAAATATGTCACCCCAAACATATTTTTTCTATCCATTCCATCCATCCAAAAAAAAAAAATTAAAAAAAAAATTAAGGAGACACCTTTCATTTCTCTCTTTCATTTTTTCGTCTTTCAAGCCAAATGAAGAACCCATTTGGGATTATTGTTGGAATAAAAAGACATTTTTATCAACAGAGCCGTCAAAAAATTACGGTAAATAAAAAGTATGTTAGGTATTTGGTAATACATTATAATAAGTATTTTTTATAATTAAATTATTTTTTAATTTATTTTGTAACACACTCCAATTTTCTTCCATTGCACTCATTTTGTCATTTTCTTTTAAAGGAAATGACAAGAAGGTCCTTAAATTCATTAATACACAATTCCTTATTTTATAATGTCATAATTACCTTTTATACAATTTTTATTTTTATTTTTATTTTTATTTTTAAGTAATTTACACTCACACCCCTCAGGTTTGCAATAAAAGACAAGTAGATACAATTAAGGAAGAGTGTGATTCAATTGCCCCCTCAAGTTTACAAACTTGAACAACAACACCTCAACCATGATAAGAATACATAATTGTCATTTGACTTTTAAATTGACTCATTTAAATCATGAAAGTACAATATTAACCTTTTACAAGTCCTTTGATTTGACTAAAATAACCCTTGACAAAAAAAAAAAACAAAAAACTCTACCTTGGCCCTCGCAATTTTTTTGCAAAACCTTATTATAGTTTTAAATTAAAATTATTTATGGTAATGTTTTACATAAAAATTAAAGTTGATCCCCTCAAATTTTTTGTATGATCTCTCTAATTTTTTTTTTTAAAAAAAATCTATATGGTTCCTCATATTAAATGTAGTTTAATAATTAAATTACTTTTAACCCCTTCAAATTCCAATAAACCTCTTGCTATAAAAGATCAAATTTAGTGAAAAAAAAAAATATTAATTATTATGGTAATCCTTATAACAATATACTATATTTATGCACACATATATTCACACACATACATAAATATTTGTTATGAATTAGAAAGAAAAAAAAAGAAGTATTCCCTTCTCTTCAATTTTATTGCATATTATGTATAGACACATTTTAACAATATACATTAAAATTGCACAAAAAAAAGGTCTTACAATAATTTTATGTTATTTTAAAATTTTAATTTTACATTTCTAGTTTGGCCCTACCAATTAAAAATTATTGGGTAGGCCCCTGTATACATATGGGCCATATGGCATTAGCAGCCACAGAGGTGGAGTTTGAATTTTTTTTGTTTTTTTAGCTAAGGGTCATTTTGGTCAAATAAAATGATCTATAAATGTTAATATTGTACTTTAATAGTTTAAATGGGTCAATCAAGAAGTTAAAGGGTAATGTACTCTTATTATGGTTGGGGTGTTGTTCAAGTTTACAAACTTGAGGGGGCAATTGGATCACACTCTCCCTAAATTATATCTACATGCCCTTATTGCAAACCTGAGGGGGTGTAAATGCAAATTACCCTTAATTTTTTTATTATTTTTTTTCCGTTCTTTTTATTTTTTCAGCTACATACTAATAATTTTATTTTTGGCAGTCAAAAAGGATAATTTATTATAGCAAATTTTTTTTTTTTTTTTTTTTGGGTACAATTGCTAGAGATATTTATTTAACAAAATTAACTTTTTTTCAATTCTGTGAAAGAGGTAACTTTATTTTTTGGTAATTTTTGATGGGACCTGTCAAAAGAAATAATTTATTCTATAAAAATAACTTCTCTTTTTTTTTTTTTTTTTTTTTTCTTTGGGTCTTGTCAAAAGAGATTATTTATACAATAGAGGTAAATTTTTTTTAATCATCTTCCTTTTGTATCTCCTCTTTTTTTTTTTGGGAGGGGGGGGATCTTGACCACAAAGATAATTTATTCAATAAATATGGTTTTTTGGGATTTCTTTTTCATGTCAAAAGAGATAATTTTTTAAATGGTTATTTTTTTATTTTTTTTTTATCAGGTTAAAAGAGACAATTTATTCAACATAACAAAATTTTATTTTATTTTTTGTCCCTTAAAAAAAATTATTCAAATTTTATTTTATTTTATTTGTGTCAGAAAATACTTAGAATATTAAAGATTAGAGATAAGAAAAGAAAATATGAAAGGGCAGTTGTGTCATTAAAAAAATTATTATTATTCACTTGTAAATTTAAGGTTAGAATTGTTATTTTATTTAAGATTGCAGTGCAATTGTTAAAAAGTGGAGTAGCCTCCCGTTTTTTTAAACACTTTTATCTTTATGATTAATTTTACAATAATATCTTTTAATAGCATGTTATCATATTTCATAATATCAACTTTATTAAGGAATCACTATAATTTGTCTTTATGAAAAATAAAAAAGTACACAGTAATTGACTAATGAAAAAAAAGTTACTTCAAATATTAAACCTGTACTCAGAATGCTAGCTTCGTTTAATTAAGAACACTTTATGAACGCAAATTTTTAAAAATAAAAGCGTTCTTTAAAGAGAAAACAAAGGAATAATTTTGATAGATTTATAAAGAGAGGGAATTTTAGGACTACATGATGTAAAATTTCACAAAAAAAAATAAAAAATAAAAAATTTAGGCCAGGGTTGGGGTGGGGTGGGGTGGGCAAAGCCCATGCTGGCTCCGCCAGTTTTGGCTATGGCACATGCCGAGGGATTGCGACAGTGAACTAAGCTTTTATGGTAGAATTAAGCAATTTGATGAGGTGTTGGGACAAAGACATTTATTTGTACATCCCAAGTATTGTCCTGCAAATCATTGAGCATTTTGGGTGGTGCGTTACAAAAGATGGTTCCAATTTTGTCACAACGATCAAACCATGCATTCATGTGGTCTACAAAAACAAGCATATATATATATAGATTGCGTCAAGAATTTAGAGATCAATTCAAGAATCATTTGTGGGGGTGGGGAACAAAGTCTCTTTTGGATGGGGTGATGGCAGTTTCTTCCAATGGATATGCGAAAAAAAGAATGTAGAATCCTATGTGGACGTCCTTATTCACCCATGGAATATGTGTGTGTGTATATATATATATATATATATATATATATATATGGGAGGAATTATTAAAGGGCTCATATGAGCTATAGCCTAGGTCCAATAAATAAATAAATCAGTTCACAACCCGATCTATATACAAATTACTATTCTTCTTAGCCCAGTCCATATACAATTAATTTTTAGTATTACTCTTCCTATCAGCCCAATTCATATGTAATCAGTTTTTACTACTCTTCCTCTTCATAAACGGTGGTATTTGCCTCATAGGGTTTGGGCGTCTAGTAAAGAAATTGCAAGGAGTCCCAGATGGGGTCCAATTTCTTATCTTTTTGAACAAATATAAATACAAAATATGTGAAGAGAATACGTAAAAGAAGAAGAATAATTTCTCTGAGATCTAGAAACTCCATTTAGATGTGATTTTTATCACCTGGAAACTCCAATTACTAAAAAACTTATCTTTACAGTTATGTTTGAAAGTGATTGTTGATTTACTTCAAGGTGTTCTTTAATCTTTACGTAATTTTAACATTTGAGTATTTTAATTTATTAATTTACAGAAAACAACATTTGGGTATTTTACCTTTTTTTTTAGAAACTAATTTTACCATATGAAGTTGGGTAACACTTGGGTTCCTTATCACTTGTTTATCATTAGCCACTCACTTTGTAATTTTAGTTCAGCCTCTCACTCTCTCTCTCTCTCTCTCTCTCTCTCTCTCTCTGTGTGTGTCTGGGTTAGTAGTTAGTAGTTAGTAGGGAGGGATACAAAGGTTCGGCTTCCAATTGACAACGGGAGCAACCTTATCACTTAAGTTACAAAGACATTCACACTAATGGAATAATTCAAATGCTTGAAAATCTACGAGCATCCCACAAGCCACATGCGAGCTTGACCACAACTTAATCAGTATGAATATCCTTATATAAATTATTTACTTAAAAGACTTAAACTCGTGACATAATGTTTCATGAGACATCACGATTCGGGTTCTCATCCGCTGTAACAAAAAACAGTAAAATACAACTATATAATACACAATAAAAATATACAATAAAATACTACTATAATGTTCAAATAATTCTATTTCCATTTATGAAAAGAGTAATAATATTTGTACTGATCACTTAGAGAGATTTGTTAGGCCTTATATAGTTGATTGGTCATGTCAAATATAAAAAATGAGACTCTTCATTTCATTAACTAATGCATTAATAACCAATCATATATAGTAGATTGTAGGCTTAATAATTCCGTCTAAGTGATTGCTGCAAGTATCATTAATCTTGTAGAAATTCAACGATTTTCTTGACCATGCAATGGATTGGTCCATTTGTGCTTCAAAACTGAAGAGCTCAATAGAACCCCATTTGGATTTTGAAGATAAGATAGGAAAATAAAGTCACATCAAGAAAGCGTAAACAATAATTTTTTTTATTTAATTAGGGACTTGGACTAATCCCTTTAAATACCTGTAATTACTTCCAAACTAAAATTACTAATGTTAATTAATAATGTTTACAAAAGTATAACTCAATATAGTTATCCTTTTAAAGTAAAGGATAAAAGGGAATTACTTGGACTGTGTTTGGAACCAAATCCAAACTTTACATAAATGTATTATTTCTTGCGTATAGAAATTGCAAAGAAAATATTTCTTTTATATGTTTATCCTTATTGAATTTGTAATTTTATCGGAATAAAAGAAAGCGTTGCAACAGTTGCAACTTAATTATTACTTACTTATTTATTTTATTTTTGTGTACGTGTATGTTGTCAATTATAGGGATAAATACATCATATCCATCCGCATCAACAAAGATCTTCTTCAAGTAACCGGTAAATCCGTTAAAACTAAAAGAAAAGATTAAAAGAATTACAAATTGATAGTAACTCTGAGAGTTAGAAGAGTCGTACTCCACAACGCAGTATATATGTGAAGCAGCAAAATTTAGGTTCCCCTTCTCTCTCTTCTTTCTCTCTCTAAACTTCCTGTCAATTTTTTTTCTTCTTCAATCCCCTCCTCAAAACGCTTTACTTTTTGGATTAATCAATCAATTCAAGGGCTTATTTTGTTCTTCCTTTTCTGGGTAATTGTACACAGGTTCTTCCTTATACTGGGTTCGGTTCTTTTTGTTTTTTAATCCAATATGAGTTTCGTTTGATGATTTTGAATATCTATTATATATTGTTTCTGGGTTTTGGAGTATTCTTATTGGGATTATATTCTTCAATTCTAGGACGGTGTTTGAAGTTGAAAGAGAAGGCTTTCGTTGGAATAATGATATTTTATTTTTCCTGGTAATAATCCGATTTTGGAATTGATTTTTTTTTTTTTTTTTGCTGCGTTCTAAGAGATTATTGGGTTATTTATTTGTTCATATGTTTTGCAGTTCTAAACATTGATTGTTGTGTTTTGAGTGTAAAAAAATGGATTTGGAGAGTGGTGAGGCAGAGAGAGGTGTTGATATTTTGAGAAAGTCCCAAACCCACGAAGGAGACACTGTCCTTGACAAGTCTAGTGTTGCAGATGGGGCTTTGGGGAGGAATGTGAAAGATGTTGGGAGTATTAGTAGCAAAGATATGTTTGTGAGGGCAGATATGATTGATTTCAAGAGTTGGGATTTGCAGTTTGAGAAGCACTTGAGCAGGGCTTGGTCAAAGGATGGGGAAGGTCATACGAAGAAGGAAGAGTGGGAAATTGAATTAGCTAAACTGGATATAAGAAATGTTATAGCTCATGGGACCTATGGCACTGTGTACCGAGGTGTTTATGATGGCCAAGATGTTGCAGGTAATTGCTTGTTGCGCCAAATCCTACATGTTTCTGTCTGGTTATTATTATGCAAAAATTTGATTGTTGTGATATGCTTATCCTGCTGAGGTATCTGTTATTGTTCTTAGTTTCTTGATCATTCTATTGATGGTGATATGTTTATAAACTGTTTGACTTAATTCCTATGTAATTCAACATTGACTTGAGTGTTTGATATTTTCACGTCCCAACCATTAGAAGTTACCTTCATTGGTTTGCTAGAGAATTTGTCCTAAAATGTGTTCTCTTACAATGGTTAGAGGATTTATGCTTCCTTTTTTTTAGAAGGGTGAGGTTAAAGGATTTTTGTTATTTTGTTATTATTGTTATATTTTAGTTAGTATTTACTTTCCATTATTATACAGTGGACCTTGTAGTGAGGTTTAAATCTAAAACTTGGAGATTTGGATTCATTATGGTTTCTTGTTTACCTTTGAGACATGACAATTTCGTTTATATTATGGACTTGTCATTGGTCATTGGGATATTGATACAATCTGGCAGGGCATGATACTATTTCTCACTGATGCACTGAAGTGGGGTTTTGTTTCCCATACTATGTTTGGGTATGAGACAGGGCGTATATAGGGGGCGTGACATCCTGGTTTGGTGGGTAACGAGAGAAGTGATATTTCGGGTTTGATGTGATAGGAAACATGTCATTATAGTATCATTGACATGTATAATGAGTCCATTGCTAGTTGTACCATGTCTTAGACCCAATTGGCATTGACCTCTAGCTAGTTGGCCCATACCATAAGGAGAGAATGGAAAATATATGATGAACATTTGCATCTTAGCCTTATCGTGGAGGAGAACAATGCATTGTACGCATGTCATTATCTCATTTTGTGCTCTTTAGGAGAAGGTATCATATCTGGTTTTTCTTATCAGTATTTAGAGACCCCCATCACTTCTGTAGAAAGGGTTCTGGCTCCTTTTCTTATTTTTGAACTATAGACTTGCTCGATTATGTAATAACCAAATTTTTTATAGATACATACAAATACATATATATCTATATATATATACTGTTCACAGTTATATATATGAGAGGCAGAGAGAAGTTTCAGACTTGTCTATATGCATTATACTTGAAAAACCTAATAAAGTGTAGAAGGCTTATATAAAGAGTACAAGTCTTACTTAACTACACAAGGGCCCCTATCAACATTCTGTAATTACATAATGGCCCAACACACACACACACACACACACACACATATATATATATATATATATATATATATAACATTCTAACACTCCCCCTCAAGCTGGAGAATATATATCAAATAATCTCAGCTTGGAACAGATAGTTCTTAACTGGTTATGACCCAATGCTTTGGTAAACATATCAGCTGATTGATCTTCAGATTTCACAAATGGAGTAGAGATGCTCCCACTTAATATTTTTTCTCGAATGAAGTGACAATCAACTTCAATATGTTTGGTCCTCTCATGAAACACAGGATTTGATGCAATGTGAATTGCTGCTTGATTATTACAGAACAATGGAGTAGTATCCTCAACTATCAACCCAAGTTCTTTTAGAAAATGTTGTATCCATGTCAACTCACTAGTGGTATGGGCCATTGCCCTATATTCAGCTTCAGCACTAGATCGAGCTACCACCGTCTGCTTTTTACTTCGCCATGTAACAAGATTTCCTCCTACAAATGTGCAGTATCCTGTAGTAGATCTCCTATCTGAAGAAGAACCAGCCCAGTCAGCATCTGTAAAACCTTCCACCCTGAGATGACCATTTGATTTATATAGTAACCCTAAACCTGGAGCTTTCTTGAGATATCGTATAATCCGAAGAATAGCAATCCAATGTGGCATTCTAGGAACTCCCATGAACTGGCTTACAACACTGACTGCATATGAAATATCAGGTCGAGTGATAGTGAGATAAATTAATTTCCCAACAAGGCGACGAAACCTGCCCGGGTCATTAAATAGATCACCCTCATCAGATAGAAGTTTTATATTTGAATCCATAGGAGTATCAACCGGACGACCACCCAACATACCTGTTTCTTCTAATAAATCCAACACATATTTGCGTTGGGATAAACTTATACCCTTCTTGGATCTAGCAACTTCAATGCCCAAGAAATACCTAAGTTTACCCAAGTCTTTAGTGTGGAATTAATATTGCAGAAACAACTTCAACTTAGCAATGCCTTCAGAATCATCACCTGTGATCACAATATCATCTACATACACCACAAGAAATATGAAGCCAGCTTTAGTGCGCTGGTGAAACACCGAATGGTTGGTCTGACATCTCTTAAGACCAAATTTTAATGCACCTCAGAGAATTTTCCAAACCAAGCCCGTGGAGATTGTTTCAATCCATACAGAGCCTTTTTAAGGCGACAAACAGTGTGAAGATACTCCCCCTGAGCAACAAACCCAGGTGGTTGCTCCATATAAACCTCTTCTGCTAAGTCACCATGCAAAAAGGCATTTTTAACGTCTAACTGAAACAGAGGCCAATGTCTATTAGCAGCAAGAGAAATCAAAACACGAATAGAAGAAATCGTAGCAACGGGAGAAAATGTCTCGTCATAGTCAATACCATAAGTTTAGGTATAACCTTTGGCAACAAGACGGGCTTTTAAACGCTCAACAGACCCATCTGGAAGATACTTCACAGTATATACCCAGCGACAACCAACAGGTTTGACATCCGGTGGTAATGGAACAAGATCCCACGTGCCATTCTTATGCAAAGCATCCATTTCATCTTGCATTGCTTTCCTCCAGCCCAAATCAGATAACGCATCCTGCACAGTCTTAGGAATGAATTTAGTAGACAACTGAGAGGAAAAACATGAGAATGATGGCGATAAGGAATTATAAAAGACATAATGAGTAATGGGATGGTTAGTAACACATGAGCGAGGAGCTTTACGAAGTGCAATAGGCAAGGAATCAGACACAGTGGAAGGCGCCGGATCCAAGGACTCTGAAGATGATGGAGGAGGCATGACAACCGATGGCTTTGGTCTTCGAGTGTACACCTGTAACGGGGCAGATGAAGGAACAAGAGATCGAGGTTGAAGAGAGAGTGAGGGAAGAGGAACGGCAGAAGAAGGCGACTCAAGAGTGATATCAAGAAGTGAATCAGTATCTGAAAAATATGGGATGGACTCAGAAAACGTTACATCTGCGCTAATAAAGTACCGTTAAGAAACAGGACTATAGCAGCGATAACCTTTGTGAGAGCGAGAGTAGCTAAGAAATACACACTTTGTGGCACGTGGGTCTAATTTATCAAAACCAGGACCAAGATTGTGGACATAACATACACATCCGAAAACCCTAGGAGGAAGAGAAAACAAGGGAGAATCAGGAAATAAAATAGAATGTGGAGATTTGCCATCTAAGACAGATAACGGCATACGGTTAATAAGATGACAGGCAGTAAGAACAGCATCACCCCAAAACCGTTTAGGTATACGCGTATGAAACAAAAGAGCACGAGTTACTTCTAAAAGATGTTGATTCTTACGTTCTGCAACGCCGTTTTGTTGTGGAGTATAAACACATGAATTTTGATGAATAATTCCTTTATCACTAAGATATGTATCAAATGGAGTTGAAGAATATTCCTTAGCATTATCAGAACGTAGAATACGAATTGGACATCCAAACTGAGTTTTGATTTCTTTGCGAAATTTTTGAAAAATTAAAAATAACTCAGAACGATCTTTCATTAAAAACAACCAAGTTAGGCGAGAATAATCATCCACAAATGTCACAAAATAATGAAATTTATTGATTGAAGAATGTTTTATTGGACCCCATGCATCTGAATGAACCAAATGAAAAGGACTAGAGACGCGATTATTAACCCTAGACTTGAAAGACACACGATGGTGCTTACTAAGTTGACAAACTTCACATGACAAGAATTTCAAATGACTAAGACTAGGAACTTGACGCTTCAAAACTTGAAGTGACGGGTGACCAAGGCGACAGTGCCACTGGAATGGAGACAGAGAAGACTGAAGAGCCACAGGAGAAGATTCGAAATCAAAATAATATAAGCAACTAGCTTCATGACCCGTACCAATCGTCTTCTTCGTCTTGAGATCCTGAAACACACAAGAAGTAAGATCAAATGTAACAGAGCACTGGAGAGATTTAGTAAGCTTACTGATAGACATTAAATTAAAGGGAAACTGCGGAACATGTAAAACAGATGAGAGAGACAATGAATCACTAAGTGGAGTTGTCCCCAAACCTGAAACCTGAGTGGATGAACCATTAGCAAGAGTAACACTTTGAGAAGGATGTACAGAATGAAAATCAGATAGAAGAGAAGAACATCCAGTCATATGATCAGATGCTCCAGTGTCTATGATCCAAGGACTGTGAGTGGAAGACAATAGACATGTGTGTGCAGTACCTGACTGGGCCAAAGTAACCGTGGAAGATGAATTAGATGCTTGCTTATAAGACAAAAACTGGGTATACTCATCCTGTGGAACAGGAACTGTATTTGATTCAACTATGTTATGTGATCCAGAAGCAACATCATTCGGAGAAGAAGAAACTTGATTGGCATAATAAGATGGTTTCCCATGAAGATCCCAACAAAAGTTCACCGTATGATTAAAAAGACCACAATGGGTACACTTTCTGAATTCCCTGCCACGGCCACGTCCTCCACGTGGATCACGACTACCACGGGTGGAGCGTCCCCCACGACCTCCACGGTAGGTATTATGTTCACCCTTTGAGACCACTAATGTTGAACGCTCACCACTCTGTCCAGTATTCAAATTTGAGGTATCACTTGCAAGTGTAGCACGCTGAAGTCTAGAAAACACCTCAGCAAGAGATGGAAGTGTTGGACTGCTCATAATTTGTGCACGAAAAGGCTCATATGCTAATGATAAACCAGTAAGAAAACGGACAACATTAAAGTCCGCACGTTGTTGTTGCATACTGCGAACATCACTTGTAATGGGCTGATACATATTCAGCTCTTGGCAGACTCCCATAACTTTAGAATAATACTCTTCTATACTTTGAGTACCTTGTTCAAGATTGAAGTACTGCTTACAGAGCTCATAAACACGAGTGATATTACCTGTCCCAGAATACAATTGCTGCAATCTGTCCCATATCTCCTTAACAGTATCCAAATAAAGTAGAGTTGAACTAATTTGGGGTTCAATACTGTTTATCGTCATAGAGATGATCTGAGCATCTTCCTTTTCCCATGCATCAAAGGAGGCATCAGCTGCCTTGGGTTTCTCTTTAGTCAAATGAGAACCAAGACCTCTGCCTTTGAGGAAAATGGCAACAGATTTAGCCCACAATATGTAATTCTTCCCATTCAGTTTAACTAAAGTCATGGGAGAATGAAGACTGTTCGTGGGTGACAGTAAATCTGAACTAGATGCCATGTTGAATCCAGCAAAACAGAGAAGAAAAACGCGGGAGAGAAAAAAAAACAGATTCTGTACTCTGGCCGAACCTGGAAAACCGGGTCGGATCTGAAACCGGGTTGGATCTGGTCAACGGACCTGGTCAAACGGGTTGGACTGAATTGGGCTATCCAGGTTTAGCAAACCAGGGTTGAAGTAGCCATAACCATGTAGCCAAACAGAGGTCTTCTTCTTTACACCTTCACGGACGCCGGGGAATAACGCGGCGGCAACGACGGCGACCCAATCACAAGGAACAGCCGAACCAATAAGCAGCGATCGCTGCAACTTCCGGCCAACAGAGATGAACCTCACCTTTGCGAATCAAGATTGCAGAGGTCGATGAGCTCGCTGGCAACTAAAGAGAAGCTGCTGGTGACGACGAACACGGCAGAGACGACGATGAGCAACTCCCAGATCTGACGACGCCGCAGATCTGACGACGATGAACAAACCACAGTTGATGACGACAAACAAGGAACTGATGAACCGAAGGTAGAGATCACCAACACCACAACTGCAATTCGAATCTTAGACAAGAAGAACCCAATTACAGATTCTCACACCCATGATCGTACGCTCTGATACCATGTTCACAGTTATATATATGAGAGGGAGAGAGAAGTTTCAGACTTGTCTATATTCATTATACTTGAAAAACCTAATAAAGTGTACAAGGCTTATATAAAGAGTACAAGTCTTACTTAACTACACAAGGGCCCTTATCAACATTCTGTAATTACATAATGGCCCAACACTTATATATATATATATGTAACATTCTAACATATACAAAATACATAAATATATGATTTAAAATTCGAAATTGGGATATAAAATAATAATTTAATTTAGAGAGATTTAGGTTTATCAATTGATGTTATCTGTAATAACCCTAGCTACCCACACTTCCAACTCCCACATGATCGGCACTTCAATTTCATGTTCATGTTGTTAAATATCAACGTTTCAGACTTTTGTTAGGAAGAAAAAGGTACTAATTGGGAACCCTATCATCTGTGCCATAGAAGTGAACAGAGGGAAGGAAGTCTAGAAAGGAGTGAAGTTTGTGACGGAGTCAGGAAACAAGATTCAGCCAGAGAAAGTATTATGAGAATCTAGAATTTAGTGTATTCTTAATTTCAGGTGTGTAATAATTTAGGCTAATTGTATGTTCGTTAACTGAGATTGATAAGCGTTGAGCAGGAAGAAGTATAGAGGGAAGGAGAATTGAGAAAAAGGGGATTGTGTTAGAGAAAACTAAAAAGGGAAGAAGAAGCCTAATTGAATCAGGCAAGTAAATCTTTGCTGTATTATAATTTCAATTGTGTGGTATTTCAGGCTAATTTTATGTCTGATTTGAGATAGAAGGCAGTTTCTACTCATCTTTGTATAATAGTCAATTTAATTACATAATATTTCATTATTGTTGTTAGACAGTAACATGTATGCTGTGGTTTATTAGTTCTACTAAATATAGGTTAATTGTTATCATATTTGAGTTAAGAGTACCAGATGATATATGTCCACACTTGCCTGTCTGTCATTTAGGTTTAGAGTCTTTAGACCAAATACACTTTGTATATATATTCACACAATGTGATACATGAGACTGTGCGATTATATTTGACCTTAAACCGTAGTTTCCTTTACTGTTATGGCGTGCTAAGCTGTCAACCAAACCTTCTAGTATACTGAAGCATATGATTGAATTCCTTGGCTGTGGTTATACAACATATATTTATCTATATGTCTATATATTTATATAGCACGTAGGTTATATGATTTTTAGAATTGTTGTAGTATGGAGAACATGTTGCATGACAAAGTGGAATGTTCTGGACCTGAATTTCATTAGTAATTTAGTGTTTCAAATTGCTATGTTAATATAATTATATATATATATATATATATATATATATATATATCTGCATAATTGGGTTAATACTAGTGCGTGGGTAGTCATAGCCAAACCTTGTGGAAATCGAATAGCAGTGAAACTTAATTGTTTAGAACTTGGCTTGCTTTGTGGATACATGTGATCTAAAAGGGATTTAGAAAGAATTATGATATTGGAACTGGATATATACACACACACACATACACATAAAACTTGAACTAATGCTTTCATGGTCGAAATACATACAGTCCTGAAATGGGTTCAGTCCGTGTCTTTGATGATTTTTGATTAAACTTGAGGATGTTAATAGAGATTGTAGAGTTGAATTAAAGCCCTATGGTTTAAGGTGGAATTAGGGTGAATTTGAGGGTCACGCCTAAAAGGGCAAAGAATTTGCGTCGGACACCGACACATGCCGGGTACGCCTCGACACGTGTTGGACACGCCAACAAACGTGTCTGATTTTTTTTTTTTTTTTTTTGAATATTCGGACATGCCGCGGACATGCACAGACACGTGGACACCCATCAGACACGCCATGTATATGTGTTTGACATGCATGTCACATTCTTGAAATTTTTTAAGAAAGTTTTAGAAAGAAAGTTGGGTTGAAGTGTAAATGTGAGGAGTTGTTTAGTAACTTTCAATAATACGGCGGTCATTACCCATTACTTAAAAAGTTGCTTTATAAAGAATCAGCTAGTTAGGCTTATATTTTAGTTCAAAGGTTCAAACACTTGCACCATCAACTTTTACTCTCTTGTTCTCTCATTGACCAAGCTTCGTTGCCTTGGATGGTCGCTCTCTCTCTCCTCTTTCTCCTCTTTTCTTTCTTCTTCTTCTTCACAAACCCTAAATCCTTCTTTTTCCTTTCACAACAAAATTCTTTTTGTGTCTCTTTTTCATTTTTCCTCTTGTTTCCATGAAATCTTTTTATGTTCTATGGATTCCTACCTATATTTTTAACTAAGCCCTAATTCTTTTTCTAACAAAACCCTAATCCTCTTTGTTTCCTTGTTTTTTCTCTTTCTTAACCCTCTTCCTTTCTTTCTTTCTTTTCCCAGCAAACACAATATATTTTTTTCATTATTAGGTTTCTAAAAAATAGTATTACTCTTAATTTCTTAAAGTACAACATCATATATATAATTTATTTATTATTTGCTATGTCCCTGCCGTATCATTTTCCTAATTTTGTTCTATATGGTTTTGATCTGGATACAATGACCTCATGCTTAGAAAAATATGGAGAAGAAACTAAGAGCAGACATAGAGCATATAAAGCAGATTTTGAGTGCATTCTAGCAAGGTTGATATGATCGGGATCCTGTATTGAGTTGATCAGGGAGTCTATGGAATCCGGTCCTAGGATCGAATTAAGAATTGCAAGATCCTAGAAAATGACAGAAAAAAAAGAGACTAAAACTATATGTAAAAATTCAGTAATAGTATTGAGATAGGTATAAAACAAGCCTAAACTAAATAAAAATTATAGAAATGGACATGTATGTATGCACAATGCCACCCAAGGAAGTTTGATAATGTAGCTGAGAAGGTAGAATCTTAACACTAGGCAATTTAAAAGTTGTAAAGGTTGTATATGGGGTAGTGTGGTGCAAGGGCGGATCCAGGAATTGTTAATGGGGTGGACTAATATTTTTTTGGGTGGGTTAATACTAGTAATTATTTTATTTTATTTTTTTGGGCTGGGCTAAAATTGCCTATACAAAAAAAAAATAATAATAATAAAAAAAAAAAAAAAAAAATTGGGGTGGGCTCAAGCCCACCAGAGCCCACCCCTACATCCGTCCTTGGTGTGGTGTGTGTGCCTATGTTGCTTACCTACAAAAATAAAATTAAAAATAAATTAATTAATTAATTAAAAAGTTAATTGTGCATGGGAGGGTCAAGTTTCAAATCCTTCAATTCTCATTTTCCCTTTCAAAAATAATGTTACAATGCTAAAGTTATATTTTAATGAAACAAATCAAGGTAAGTCTCTAGCACAATCTACCAAATACCAATTAGCATATAAATGAATACTTTTGATAAAAGGTATAAAACCAGTCCATTTAAAAAATAATTTCAAATACCATGACTGACGTACAAATCATCAGATTTTTTTTTGTGTATCTTAAGGATCCTGAACAATCCCTTTCTGCAATTCTACTTTGATCCCATGCTGATCCTACAACTAGAGCGATTTCATGATGATCCCAGTTCAATCATACGCTTGTGTGATTTTTCATAAGATCCAAACTGATTTGAGGCGATTTTGGTAACTTTGATGCATGCTTATAAATAATGTATAATTTATCAAGGATATCACTCCGATATTCATTAATGATTCTGTACAAATATTAGAAAGTTGGTTTCATTAATTTATTGGTTGGTAAATCCCCGAACCTTCAAAAGTTGGGTTAGTAACATTAAATTTTTTTTTTTTGGGCTTGATTTTATGAATATACTCACTTTTGTGATCATTCTTGATATTATAGTGAAGGTATTGGATTGGGGAGAGGATGGAATTGCCACAGCTGCTGAAACAGCTACACTCCGGGCATCATTTCAGCAAGAAGTTGCTGTTTGGCATAAACTAGACCATCCAAATGTTACAAAGGTAAAGGTTTTTTTCCCAACCTGTGTCAAAGCCTTGCTGTATAGTATTGCTATATTATCTCAACACAGTTTATCAAATTTAATATAATAATCTCCAATGTTTGTAATTTATAAATTTTTGTACATATATTTTTGACTGGTTATATATGTAATAAAAAAATTTATTACACCGTTGGAAACTGGTATGATGGGAACTTTCACAATATTATACGTTGACTTTGGTAAGCAGTTCCCATTGACCATAAAATTCACCATAGTTCAGCTTTTTTAATTTTTTCCACTTATTTCTTGCCTTTGTAATATATTGTATTCCTTGTTTTTTTGTCAGATTTGTATGTTGTAATTTCTTTTCCCGTCATGCCTTTAGATGGTTATTTTCAGATAGTAACTCCTATGTTTTCTTATAGTTTGTTGGAGCTTCAATGGGAACATCAAATCTTAAGATCCCTTCCAATAGCACGTCAAACGACGGTCACAATTCCCTTCCTTCCAGAGCTTGTTGTGTTGTCGTTGAGTATCTTCCAGGAGGGACATTAAAGAAATACTTAATCAGGAACTTGAGAAAGAAACTCGCCTTTAAAATTGTGATTCAACTCGCTTTGGATCTCTCTAGAGGGTGAGAATAGTTTTCCTTTTTCTTAAATCAAAATGATTTATAAATGGCCTCTTTTATTTATGGTGTATGTTTAACTTTTGCAGTTTGAGCTATCTTCACTCGAAGAAGATTGTACATCGCGATGTTAAAACAGAAAACATGTTGTTAGATTCTCATCGAACACTAAAAATTGCTGATTTTGGTGTTGCTCGAGTTGAAGCTCAAAACCCAAGGGACATGACAGGGGAAACTGGTACCCTTGGATACATGGCCCCAGAGGTACTCAGGCCTTCAAGAGATCGGATAATTTTGTTACAATTTAAATATTATTTTTACATTCTGCACGTTTGATACACTAGGAACTACAATTGAGTCACTGTAGTTTTTACTTTTTCTAGGTATCAGTTTCCCTCTTTTGATAAAAAAAACTAACATGTTAATTTTGTAGGTCCTTGATGGTAAGCCTTACAATAGGAAGTGCGATGTTTATAGTTTTGGCATATGTTTATGGGAAATCTACTGCTGTGACATGCCTTACCACGATCTTAGTTTTGCCGAAGTATCTTCTGCAGTTGTTAGACAGGTTTGTTAGTTACATATGCAAATTTTTTTCAGGCAATTTTCTTCGCTGTATGTCTATGTGTGCTTGTATGTAGAATGGCATGCCTAGCTTGATTAAATTACCAATGTATTTTTCCAAAATACTAATATTTTTAGATATGAAAAAAAAAGAAAGAAAAGGTATTCACAAGCTTAGATGGAGGCAAATTACACTGTTGGTTAACAGCTTATCAAAACAATCCAACAACTATAGGTTACCAAAACCTTCCATTTCCTTGAGGGATATTCTGGATCTCCTTCCATATACCTTAAAAAGTGTAGATTAGGCTTGTCATGCAGACACACTGTGCAGCCATAAGCTGTCCAAGTAAGCAGTTGCTTTGTGCTAAGAGCTTTCTAAATAGTTCCTTGCAAATTATTGGTTCCACATAGGTTTCAATTGTTTGTAAGTTTGCTGAAGCTGAGCAGGACCTGTTAGAACCTTACTGGTGATGCTGCCTTTTACATGACTCTATACTGATGATGATGATGTAATTTTTAAATTGCTTTGGACAGAATTTGCGACCAGAAATCCCAAGATGTTGCCCAAGCTCATTAGCGAGCATCATGCGAAAATGTTGGGATGCAAACCCGGAAAAACGACCGGAGATGGACGAGGTCGTGAGGTTGCTAGAAGCAATTGATACGAGCAAGGGAGGTGGCATGATACCCGAAGGCCAGGCCCAGGGCTGTTTCTGTTTCACCACTGCTCGTGGCCCATGATTTCTGTTTTTATTCCCAACAATTTGGTGACAAATGATGTCACGAAGCAGTTCATTGCTAGACCTCAGAAAATTTTGGAATGAATGATTGAAATTCATGGAAAGACAGTCTCTTATAGTTTTGTTCTCCCTGTTGCATGGAATGTCATGCTGTTTTTCTATGGTTCTTTTTTATTTATTTATTTATTTTTACGATATCAGCGAGTTAGACATAAACATGGATTCTTGTACATATTTAATTGCATGAAAGCTACTATGGTTGTCCTTGTTGAAGCAGAACAATTATGGCTGAGATGGGAATCAAATGGATTTGAATGTGCTTGTTCATCCGGTTTTAACAGAATCCCCATATTAGCCCTAAAGTCACCTTCACTTCTCTATCTAAATGAAGCACTTGGTATAAAGTTACTTTCACTTCTCTATCTACATGCACTTGGTACCCAACTTGGATTGTGTACAGGAACAATTTGTTCTAGTTTGTAAATCATTGTGGTAAATTGGGAGGAATGGATGATGATGACAGGTTTTCTTTAGGGCTGCAATTCTGGCTGGTTTGAGATATAGCTGAAGCTCAACTCACTATATAAAATGCTAAACCTAAACCCAACCTTAACCCCATCTTCAACCTTAACTATTCAACCCGAGTCTACCTATCATTCTACTTTTAAATTCGGGCTTGCAACTCGGGCTTAGATTCTGGGTTAAAATTTCGGGTTCATTCGGTTATTTATATAGCTAATCTTTGAAAATTTAATAAGATCTTGAATTAGTTTTAAATTAAATTACTTTTAAATAAAAAAAAGTTTAAAGACATTTTGTAAATTTTTAATAAATTACAAACAAATTCATATAAAATTAATTATGGTAAATGTTAACATACAAGTTGAAAAGGAAAAAGGTAATCATAGTTTAAATATTATATATAATGTGTATATATATATATATACATATGAAAATAATATTAGAATTAGGGCGGGTTGGCTAACTCTTCAACCCAAGCTCAACCCTAATCGTAAAAATGATTTTCCAAGCCCACAAAAAATCGGATTGGACTCAGGTTGGGTTTGGGTTGCCCAACCCAAGTTGCACCCCTAGTTTTTTTTGACTTACATGTATTGGTATGTGGTCCTCTTGAATTTTTTATCTTCTTTTTATCATTATAAAGGCACAAAAACCAAGCCATTAATGGCAGCACAGAGGTAAAAAGCTCAAGGGAGAATGATAGCAACAGAACAGACCCAAAGGTCCAACATCTCTGACAGCGGGAAAACCGCCCAAACCCGCATAAGATCAAATTAGATGGTAAAGATGAGACAAAGTTGGGAACAATTAAAACGGACATACATTAGAGATCTAGCCGGAGAGAAAACAACAAATCCATCCATACTGGCAGGAAACAAGCCAAACATGAGCAGATCTAGCCGAACAAAAGCAAAAACGGCTTGAAAAATACCTACACAGCGAATTTATTGACACATGCCAAGTTTAGGATGTTACTAAATTAGGCAAAATATGACAGTCATATTTAACGGTAGTCTCTACCTTCGACTTTGAAAGGCTTAAACATATCAGTATCATGGATGTCTCCTAAAATGTGATTTGCAATACCCAATTTGTGAAGAAGAAAAAAATACCCAATTTGATTGTTTTGCCTTACGTTAAAAATAAAAAATAAAAAATAAAAAAATAAATAAATACTGTACCCAATTTGATTTAAGTGACCTGTTTCTGGGTGCTAATATCTTCTCCGCTCTGTAAGCTATCGTTCTTACACACGCCGCAAAAGCTTAAAACCAAAGGTTGCACTTTCCCTCATATATATTCTTGTTCTTCATTTCACTCGCTAACTCAATATACATACACACACATATATATACACATGTATATTTTTATTGTTAATTTTTCTTCGCAACTTCATAAAATAGTGTTTTGATCTTGTTTGGGGCACACACCCACATGGATTCAAGTTATCTTTTCGCGACTCTTTTACAGTTTCTGGTATTTCTTTTGGTTTCTGGAATATTTTACATATGCAATATGACTGTATATATATTATATAGAAAACCACACGCGCACTTGAAAGCTGATGAAAAGTTTGAATGAATAACGATGTAATTTGGGTAAATTGTACATTTGAAGTTATGTGGTTGCATTGGGGGAATTCATCAATTCTGTAGAGAGCACTTCCCAGATAATCAACTGTTTGTGACATAGTTACCCACTTTATCAATATGAACGAGCCTTTAAAAAATGTCAATGTTCAGTGACTACTTGTATTGGTTGGGAAGATTTTATTTTTATTTATTTTATTTATTTTTTCTCAGTGTGAATTATCCTGATATACAACTTTAGAGTAGATGATGATTTGGTATTTTAAATTGTAGATAGTGATTGTTGAAAAAGTAGAATTTTTAGCTGTGTAGCCATTGCGGATGGGAGTTCTTTCTCTTTCCTTGAAGAAGCATCTGCATTGATTTTGTAGTTCTTACCGTGGGCATTGTTAATTGTGGTGAATGAGTTTTGTATGTGCTTCAGTGCAGCAATAACTAAATGCCTATCGGAATTTTTAACATCGAATATCATGTTTCTGTTCTACTGAAAAGTTTTAATAGCCATATTTGCAATGCCTTTCATGTTACCATGTTCACTTTCAAAAAAGCATTTGTGAAAAGAAGCAATTGCATCAAGGTATCTGTTTCTATTAATAGCCAATGACTAATCATATATTGTTGTCGTCAAACTTTTAACATTCTATATGAACTAATTATTGAACGAAAATGCTTGTGACTGGGGAATGTCCTGTTATTTGTCTTCTTTCTTCAGCTCTACCGGCCTGTCCACTAAAAATAGTTTGTGTCATCAGGCTGTTGGATGAAGTGTGCACTGTGTGACATTAGTGAGCTTTTTTGCTTACGGATGAAATGAATGAGCCTCCAAATCAGTTTTGTGGATGCAATATTCCATGATCAATTGATCGCTCCCTCCTCCAAACACACTTGCACACAGTACTTAACGAGAAAGGGAAAAGGAGAAAAAACTGAATTGATAAGCTAACCAGCCAACGAATGGGGGATGGACAATTGTAGAAATTTTTGTTGGCCAAGTATTAATTCTTTCTTTTCTACAAACAAGAAACATTGTGATATATTGTTGAATAATTCCTTTGTCTATGTTTGTGTTTTTTTACCAATGATGATTTGAAAGGATAACAATGCTTATTGCGTAGCATACTCCTTCACTATGCATCTCATTGGCTACAAGGGAAAGACATTGAAAAAAAAGAACCTGCTCGAGGATTAAATTATCATTTTTCTAGTTATGCATCTGAAAAGGAATTAGCTAGGAGAGCCTTTCAAAATGTAGTCTGACCTCGTATGGCCAATATTAGCACCTATCAGTATCTGGTTTATTCTACTGTGGCTGATAATAGTGTCCATCTATATCTTGCGTACTTTATTTTTATGCAAAAATTTTATAGAACAGAAAGGGAGGCTGAATAAATTATACTTGTCAGAGCTCCTCTGTATCTTTTGTTTAGATTATTACTTTCTCTTGCATGGTAAATCTATCAACATATTTGCAGTTAAGACAAAGACCCTAGATCAACATCAGACTACTAAAATATTCTTTATGGAGATCGTGGAAGACAGAAAATCTGGATCCTTAGTTTTACTGAAGCAAGGCGCTGAAGCTGTAAGTTACAATTGTTCTTTTAATGGCATGTTCTAGAACCACAAAATGTTTCCAGATCTTTTAAACTCATTTTGATGATCTGTGCATTGCAGCATTGGTCACCAACTGATCTCTATTATATTTTTATAAATATTTTGAGGATGATAGGATATGAAAATTATATCATTGTAATAAAATTTTCAATACAGGATACGTATAGGGACAAATCATAGCCATTGCCTGGTTTTGCAGTTTACTATGCAGCAATGAATACAAGTTGACCTACCCATCCTGTTTATCTTATAATTTTGTATTTCTTTGCTTTTTTCTCTTAGAAAATTTTGGAGTCAACCTTTATGGGAAGGAGATCTGTTGTTAAGGAACGTTTCTCAAAGAAGTACAGGCATCCGTCATTAGATTCAAAGCTTACTCTCAAACGCTTAAATGCGGTAAATGAACTTTCTTGTCAACATTATTTATCTCGATGGAGTAATGATCCAGTATTGGATGCTTGCTTGACTTTTCATAATTCAAAATCTGTAACAGGAGGCTAGATGCATGACAAAAGCTAGAAAACTTGGGGTTTTGACTCCAATTATTTATGCTGTTGACCCTGTGTTGCATACCCTAACATTTGAATATGTGGAGGGTCCTTCTGTCAAAGACATATTCCTTGACTCTGGAGCACATGGCATTGTTAAAGAACAAATAGATGATATTGCAGTGAAGATTGGTGGTGCAATAGGCAAACTACATGATGGTGGCCTAATACATGGTGATTTGACCACATCAAACATGTTAGTCCGAAATAATAGCAATCAGTTGGTGGGTCTTATTTTCATATTATATTATTTATTTATTTGTTTTATTTTTAATTAAAAATATTATTGATTTATATATTTTAGGGACAATTTTTATTTTTTATTTTATGTTCTTTTCCGGTTTGCAGATGTTCTATCTTTCTGATTCTGTATGACTACTTGTTTTATGTTTTTATAAATCTGCATCACAGCTGGTTCTTTCTTCTCTCAGGTACTCATCGACTTTGGTTTGGGCTTCACTTCAACTCTTGCAGAAGATAAGGCAGTTGATTTGTATGTACTGGAAAGAGCTTTACTTGCAATGCATTCTTCATGTGGGAATGTGGTAAGTCAACTATTCCACTTTTGATTAATTCTTGGCAAGCAGATAGAGATAGAGCATTAGATACTTTTTTTTTTTTTTTTTCAATGAGTTGAAATCACATTGTAACTACAACATTAATGCATGAGCTACTCATCCCCGGGACCGGAACTTCAAAGGAACAACCTCCCCCACCCGCGGGGAGGGGGGGGGTGGAATCTACATACCTCCCTAAAGTTTGTCAAAACTCTATATATTATGTCTTTAATGCTGCCCATTTTTAAAAAAAAAAATCTGTAAACCACCCCCCTTCTCCCTCCTTCCCACGATTAAATAATTGAGTTTTTCAATGATGGACCCCCTTAGAAAAACCAAAAACCTCTTCAACACTTCTTAATTTGGTTTCATCTCCAACTCTTGAGTTATTAAAACATGGGCCCCTGATAATTGAGTTTTTGCACTATTCATATCTCCTTTTTGAAGGTTAAAAGTATTTTATTTGCGTAAGATCTTTTGTACTTGTATTATTGAGCCTTCAATTTTATAGCATTACTATAATTTTTTTGCTTTCATTGGTTTCCCATCAATTGTTTTTCCTACTATAGGTTCAATGTTACAACTTATTTGAATAGCCTGCAATCATGAAATGATGTGCTATTGCTTCTACTTGCAGAAAGGGCTCTTCTAGCTACGAAAACTATTAATACAAACTTTTCAACAAGATGGAGGATGACTTTATAACAAATTACTTGGTTGTCAACATTGAAAATTTTAATTGCTGAGAATTTCAATTTAGATTGAATAACAGGTGTTTTTTCTTTCTCTAGAAGATCGCCGAGTACAAATTTGGCAGTGGATATTTGATCAATGTTTCTTTTTTTTTTTTTTTTTCATTTTGTACATATCCATGTCATATTTGACTGGATAATAGATTACAAAAAATTTAATTCTTTTTGCCCATTTTTGTGTGTATCTATGATGAAATCACCAAGATGTAAGATTATATGAGCTTAGTAGATTATAAAATATTCTGATTCACGAACAATGTTTAAATTATATATTTTATATTAAGAACATATTCCAAGACTTCTATTGAAAGAAAAATATAGTACACATCACATTTTCTTTTTAAGTTCTATTTTTCATGTTACTAATTTGGTCCCCCAAGATAAAATTCTTAAGTCTGCTCCTTCTCATCCTTATCATATGAATGTGTGTCTCCTTGAATTAAACATTGGGGTGATAACATTATCTTCCGCATCGTCATCAAAAGAATTTTTCTCCAACACATGGCATTCTTTACCCAAATTTTTTTTTCATAAATATAATGGAGCCTTATAAAAGTGAAATTATTGTTCTTTTGGGTTATGTTCTTGCACAGATGGATCAAATACTTGTTGCATACAGGAAGTCCTCAAAGCAATGGTCATCAACATTGAATAAGCTAGCTCAAGGTGCGACTCCTCTATCTTATAAGTTATTGTTTGTCTTATATTTTAATTTTATTTTTACATTGAAGCTTTCTCTTTTATCTATATATCATTTTCTTGTATTTGTCTCTCTCTTTATTTATTTATTTATTTTTATAACTTATTACAGTGAGACAAAGAGGGAGAAAGCGTGTCATGATAGGTTGAGTTTCTTCCACCTGTTGTTCCACATTAAGGTAAGAGAAGAAGAAGTTTTTGTATACTGATTAATGTTATGTACAATTCATAACTTTGATGTTATCTCTTTCCATACACTCTGCACGTGCTTCTGTGACTGATAATATATATGCACTCACTCCAAAGTTGTGATACATAATTGAAAGTAAAACATCTGTTTATCTCATGCATCACAAGGTCCAAACATTATGTCTTAGTAATCCAGTAAAATTGTCTCCAACATTTTTCATGACTTAATCTTAAGGAAGAGCATTTCTATTACATGGACATTGTCATTGGTGTATAGTTGAAGTGAAATTGGCTAGCTGTAATGGCTGGGTGCTTCGCGATCCGACCCAAAATCTTAAGCTATTAGGTGGGGCTAACGCCCAACTCATATAGATCCATTCACTTCCCCATCCGGATCCGATGTGGGACAAATCCCCCTTGTAACACTAGCTATGTGCATTATGCAGTACAAGGGTCAGAAATTTGAATCGAGTATACACAAATCGTGTTTTTCTGGTATATAACCAAAGTGTATGCGAGGCCTTATGAACTCTGCAGAGCAGACTTGATTAGGTAAAGGCATCTTCATCTGCTTGGCAGCAGGACGGCCCAGGAGTTTGGTTCATAGTAGCCAAATGCTTTAACTAGAGCAGTTCAGCATACACTGCGAATTCTTAGGGAAGCTGAATACTGCAAACTAGTTTGCAGTCACTCAAGGATTTATATTGTTGTATGTATCCAATGAGGTAACGTATTTGAGATTTTTTGGTGAGTGGATCCCTGAAGCCAGATGTAGAGTATATGGTACGGAATCTAGTTTTCTTCAAAAACTGTTAACAGCTTACCAGGTTTCATAAGAAGCTGCAAATCTCTGTCTAATGATAGTTTTAGCATCTTCACCTATGTTCAACCCTTAAATGTCTAGTTCCATTCCTGTATTAGTCTTTGCTTCTAATACCACCGCTGTTGAAATGGCCTCCACCTTGTTTGGTGCACTACAAAGTGTTTACTTTAGTTGAACTCTCTCTCTCTCTCTCTCTATATATATATATAGATATATTATTCTTATTACCATTGTAGGGGATACAAGGGCAAGAGGTTGGAGGAGAGATTGGAAATGTAGTTTTTTGTGTCTGGTGATGAGCTCAAAGACCAGGACGAGGAAAACCGTTCCAATGTATCACGATGATAGTGGATAGTTATGCTAAGAAATATAATGGGAATTAGATTAGTTGATGTGGTTATGATGATGATGATTGATATATTGGCATTGTTCTTAGCCACAATGATGGTTGCAATAACAGTTTTTGCTTGGTCCACTATGTGCATTAGACCTGTAAATGGGTCAAATTTGGACTGGATCAGTGCTGAACCGATCCGAATCTGATAAGGCTATAATTGATCCAATCCGATAATCTGAAGGATATTATGTGAATCGATCCATATCTAATTTGTTAATAAGCGGATATCTGATCCGATAAGTGTGTGTATTATTTTTATTTATTTTTTTGTTAAAAAAAATTAATGTCAAAAGAGAATAAAAATAGTAAAAAAATAAAGATAAATAAAATATAAAAATAAATATTAGGTATTTTACTCTTTGTTAAAGAATAAAAACTTGGGAATAAGAAAAAATAGAAAGAGTGAAGGAGGAAAGGAGAAAATAATGATAAGAATATTTTTATAATATAAAAATATTATATATCATAAAGTTATATTATATATGTTAATATATTATTTTGGATCGGATTATTATCGGATCGGATTGACTATAATTCATATCGGATTTGTTTAGCTAATGGATTATCGGATTCGGATCGTTAACGGGTTATCAAATTAAATTTTCAATCCATATCCGAGTTATCGGATCGGATTCGGATCAAAATCCAAACCATTGACAGGTCTAATGTGCATAGGTTTATGTATTTAAAAATTCTTTTCGTTGTGAGCCTGGATATATGGTCCTCTTCCCGATACTTACACCTCAGATTACTATGGAGTATGGTCCCTATTTGTCTCTTCAACTTCCTCATTTCCTATGTGTCATGTGATAACATGTGAAGGAATATGCCATAGAAACAATTATAGTGGTCCCTCGGGAATAATAATTTGTGGAGATTTTTATGCTATTAAATGCAGGCAGATCTTTTGTTTTCTTTTTTATTATTTTTGGTAAATCAGATCTTTCATATTCATATTTACTAATTTTTATTTTTTTTATTTTCCTCCGAACATACATCCACACGTTCATTGTGAAAATCCCTTAGAGGTTGACTCCAACAGTGGGAAGTTGAACTAAGAATTTTCTTACATGCGTCTTGGTTGTCTAATTAAAGAACTTTCTTTTGTGTGTCGTCGATTCCATCTAATTAATGAGTTTCATTGTCATATTATTTTATTAGTATTCTCAAACTGCCATATATGACTTCCTTAGTGAACCTCAAATTTTCAAATAAAAATAAAAATAGAAAAAGAAGAAAAAAGAAGGGAAAATGAAAAAGGAAGTGCTTGCTGGGCACCCTGTGCTCGAACCTTTTGATCAAGTATTCAATATACTTAGGGCCCGCAATATATTGTGTGCTTTTTCTTTGGGTTAAATCAAGTGTAAGGGTAATAAAGGTATCGTGAACCACCCTTATCCAACCTATATGCTTGGTACCAGCCCAGTTTACCTCCCTGACTCTGATTTTTTTGGCCCAACTAATCCTTGCCTGAAAGTACCTCCAGAACCATTGTTAACCAGACAGCAAGCTCATTCACAAAGGCACACCATTCTAGCGTGCCGAAGCCCTGAGTGTCATCATGAGCCAAGAGCTTGAACTCTCAAGCTTGACAAATTCCTTAATTTCACCGTTGATAACGCCACCAGTTACATCCCGTGTCCTTTACCTCAACCAACTCAAGTCCCACTCCTCCTTTGGAAACCATCTCATGTTCAATATATTGCAGATATGGTCCCTAGTTTTGCCTCGCAAATCCAGCTGAGGTTGTTGCAAGAGCATGGTCAGAGCCATCGTTTACAGAAGTGAAATTATGGTCTTTACTGTTGCTGTTGGGAGAAAAATGAATGTGAGGGATTGCACTGGTTGGATAGCATTAAGTTGGCTCGCTAGTGTTAAGATCATGTACCTAGCTAGAAATAATTAAGATGATATAATCTGTAATTTTTTTTTTTTTTTTTTTTTTTGTGCAATATAACATCATTGTCATTTTTTTAAGATTCTCTCTTGTGAAATCTAAATTCTTTGTTCCTTTTATTCAGTCACTGCAAAATTCAGATAATTAATTCTAAGATGCAGATAGCTTTCTAAAAAGAATTTTTTCTCTTTCTATTCCTTGTATAATTAATTCTAAGGTGTAGAAAGCAGAATAAGTAGCGTTGGCTTTTCTATCTGAACAAAGCTTTGGAACAAATTGGGATTGGCCTTGTGGTTCTTTCTCCGTACTTTCTGAATTTCATGCTTATGAGGCGTGACAAAGTTTAATATTAGCCATCCACCTATCACAGCCATCCCTTCTGTTGGTTATTTGTTTTGTCATTGATAAGACTTAAAAACATGATGTGTTGGTTCTTAGATAGAATCAGCACAATAAGTGATGAAATATGAAGAGAAGTAGCTAATTTATCTTGATATTGCAGTTCAGTACTTATAGGGGCATGGAATGCTGTGAGAATATTATGTGATGGACAGCAGGCAAATCGAAAATTAGGTTAGCATTGGAGTTGAGATAACTGTTGAAAAGTTGAAGAACTGCAAATACTTCATAAACCATTCATCAGAAATTAATTTATGATGGTGACTTGCATTATGGACACTCGATTCATTGTGTTGAGGCTTTATAGTGGACCTGTATTTTCTACTTCACCAATTCAGAATCTATACAATTATAGCTAAACATGTAGCAAAAACCATATAGGCTTTGGGTATAGCAACCACTATCTTGATTGAGCTTGAATCATTCTTTGTGGTGACGATTTTGAGACACACTAGGAGGTGTTCAAATTAATAATTGATGGGGGATAAGAAGATTCTCGCTTTATATGGTGCTTACAGATATCAGAATTAGATATTCACGGCCTATGAAGCTAGCTAACAAGTAGAATTAATGCCTTTTGTCAAGTAAACATGAATAGCACTCACTTAGCTTTGCAGCACCATAATAGCTGACAATAATACATTTTTGACTCTGTAGGTTCTGGATTGCTTTTACATATTTTGTTCTCGTCTCAGTTTTATCAAGTTAAATTCGGTCTGAACTTGCTGAAGGATTTCTTGTGACTTCTTTAGACATTGCAATTTAAATTCTCTGCGATATTTATTTTTAAAGTTATGTCATCAAGATGGAAGATAGATACTGCAATATCAAACAAGGAATTATTTTATAAATAAATTAGTCATCTTTTTCGGTTTTAAAAGTGGATTTACTCATTTTGTAGGATGAAAAATCACACCCTTGCCCAGCTCATATGGTAGGCAGCAGGTCCGTTGGCACGAGCATTTTCCGTCATGAAGAAAACAATGCTTTGGACATCCGTAGGATCTCGCTTGAGATGAGTTGGATGTTAGGTGAGGAAGATATTTTGACCATGTAAGCGATTGTGAAAAAGAAAAATAGTCCCACTTGGACTGCAGGAGTTTAGGGTATTATTATTCTTTTCATTGTAGTATGTTGATACAATTGGAAGTTGTTGTGTCGCTTTCTATATAGTTGTGGATATTTTCAATGAAGATCAACATTCTGTCCTGGTGCGTTGCATGTTTTGGTCGACCTATATACACACACAAAACATATCATTCAATGTGCAGGCCAGTATTCTCCTTTTATATCTTTTTCTGTGTCTCTGCGTGTGTGTTTTGACATGAACACATAATAGACTTATGTGGCTCCTAAATTGTCGTGACGCGCCCACACCGTGTAGGTATTGTCTACATAGGAGTTGTTCACACATATAAGTCTCAACAATCTCTCTCTCGCCAGTGGTGATGTGGGACGTCACAATCACTCTTTCTTGGATCCAACATTCTTGTTGACTTGCTCTCCTCTCGGTGTTCACTTTTGAAAGCGTGTTTACACGGTTAGGAGATGTCACACGTATAAGTGTTAACCACCTCCCCTCAGGCGATAAATAGTGCCTAAAAGGGGAAGTTTGGATTCTCTTTAAGCTCCTTTGATATATTGAAAAAATAATAGAAATTAATTGAACATGCTTTCTCTGTGTTCTCCTATGGAAAGGTGCAGGGTTCATATCTAAGATAAGAGGGACATGGGGAAAAGACAAGTCATGCATTGGCAAAGAACTCCCTCACCTTATGAAACTCATGATAGTATCTCACACAGACGCGCACACATTAAAAATCAAGAATCCCATTATAAAGTTGGTAGTTTTGGGTTGAATGGATATTAATTATAATGAAAAAGACAGGCCTTATGAAGTGATGGGCAACATGTAGGGTGATGAAGGCTCTGGCTCTGAGAATGAAAGGCGAGAAAGACAGTGACAACTTCTATCTCCGGGTCAACGAAATTAACAAATGGGTATCAGAAATTGTTTGGTGAAAGGAAAAAAAAGGCAAAAAAAAAAATGAAAAATTTCCAATCGTCACTGTCCTTGGAACTTGAAAACTGCAAAGCTTTGCATCAAAGTTGACTTATTAGTCCATTTTCTTTTCTTTTTTTTTTTTATTTATTATTTTTCTTTCCTGCTGGACAAATATTCTTTGCACCTTCAACAGGAAACAGGTCCCAAACATCGAAGTAGAACAGAATGGTCCTATGATTCAATATGAAAAAGAAAACTGAAAAAAAAAAAAAACCCGAAAAGAAAGAAAAAGGAAGGTACTGTAAGTACCATTTGGATTCAAAATTGAAGTTCTAGTTGGAGACAATAACAAGAATAGAAATATAGTGACTAGCGGAAGTGCTTCTGATTGGCATCATATAAAAACTACTCAAAACTATATTTCATTGATGCCTTGACTAGTGGCAATTGGAAGACATGCACTAGGGTTCCTGATGTACTATAGTGTCTTCAAGCATGCAGAAGACACTCTGTTCCTTCTTCTATCATTTCCTCTGAATCAAATAGAAAAATAATATACAGTCGGACAATGAGACAACTTCGACGATTCGACATGCAAAATTGTTAGGAGTTGTCCAATTGTTAAACTCTGTATCATAACTCAACCAAATGATATCAAGGAAACATTCACTATTTTCCTTAAGCATACATTAATTTTGTCCCTTACCTCTCCAAAAAATTGTTGGGTATTCCAGGGCACCTACAATGTACGTAGAAAAATCTGTCAATAAACACTCATATTTTCGCCGATAAAAAATATTTCTCCCGTTCCAAAATTATGTTATGTAATTGTCTGTTTTGAGAACGGTGACTCACAATTTATCATAGATTGAACCGCTGAATCGAAAAAATTGGATGCTATCATATAGCTTTGTATCGGCTAAGTTCACAAGTTGGAGATAAGCGGACTCGAACCACTGACATTCGACACAGGGTAAACCACTGTCTCTCAGGTCCCCTGACTGATTCTACCATAGATGCCAATGATAAACAATAACTCCCTCGAACACAGCTTACAACTTTCATCGTACCGTGCTCTCTGAAGAGCAACTCTTCTCAAAATCTCACTCAAAAGATGTTGAATTGGAATCCCATTACAACTATTTTGAGAGAAATTGAGTAATAACTTACCATTGGTCGAGTTACTACATTATCGGTATCCCGGATATCCAATTAATAATTTCTCAAATCCTTCTAATTCTCCATTGTACACAAAAATAGTGTAAAAGCAACTGACTTCATCACCAAAATTCCTACCACTTAGTAAACTAAATGATTTTTTTATTTTTATTTTATCATACTTTTTAGCTTAATCTATCCGAGAGCTAAAAAGATGTTTTGATCCATCCATGGTCACCTATGTCCATGTTCCATCACTCGTGCTATAGGTTTCAAAATTATATGCACACCTACCATACATACATGTAGATACATACATATATATATATATACATATATATCTAAACATATTGGAGAACATTACATGAATTGCTGTGTCTACAGAAGAAGCAGTATGATGAAGTACACAAGAACCAGAGATGCTTTGAAATATGCTTCTATATCTTTTGGCAGATGATGGCAATGAAAATGAATAAGAACAAAGCTCATTCCAAAGACAAAAAGCCCCCAAAATAAAAGCTTGAAAATCGTTTTGAGTGACAAGAGGAGAGGGTTGGCTCAAGAAGGGAGATTTAAAGCTGAAAAAGCAAAAGAAAATAGTATTCCCTCATTGAGAAGTAGATACTTTCCCCAAAGTACAAATCATAGATCATACATCCTTTGACTGCCTCATTTGTCTGTTATCATTTTGATTTCTCATCTCATTGCTACAAGGGCATTTCTGGAATCATACATAACCTTAATTACTCGAAGTGTTGAACTAGTTTTTATTTAGATTAGTTGGATAGTTTGAACAAAAATGATGTGCTTAAGAGAGGTTATGATTATATTATCATATTTAATGACTTTACGATGATATCATTCCTCAATCAATTATATAAAATAGTTAGATACATAAGATTTTACGGCCATAAATAATCCATCAAAGTAACACTGGACCTACAATACAACCAAAAAGTTAATTCATTTGTTTTAGTGGATTGTTTGTGGTCGTCAGTTATATAACGTTGCAAACGTTATAACTTATAATTTCTCTAACTTTTGAACCTTTTCTTTATACTTTTGTTATTTCTATCTCCTTTTTCATTTTGCACCTTTTTTGTTCCCACTTCTTCTCATCTAGAAATTATACATGGTTGCAACGCTGGCGTGGTATAATTGACAGCCATAAACAATCAACCAAAACAAAATAAACCTGCAAATCAAAAATTAAAAATCATACTATTTTAAACCTATGAATATAACAAAGTTATAACTTTTTTTTTTTTCTTTTATTCCTGATGAATTTAATGTTATCTGTGATTATTTCCATTGCATTGATGGCTTCTAGGGTTTTTTTTGGATCCCTGGATTCATAATCAAATCATAAATTTGAGTTTGTTCACAAAATGAAATAGTTGAAGAAAATCAGGCCGTTGTTTTTATATTTTATGGTTTGATCTATGATTTGTTGTGTCTATAGTTTCATAATCTCTTTTCAAATGTCAGATACTGTTATATAACTTCGTATTTGTTCGAATTCGTTACACCGCAATATATCTTCGTATTTGTTCGAATTCGTTATACCGCAATCACGACGAATACCGTAATTATAAACCTTGGTATGATCATTATTTTTTTCTCATCAAAATTGTTTATGATGGACAATATTGAGACGCAGCCTTAATTTGCAACACGTGAGAAAAAAATTGAAAAGAAAAGAATGATGATGGATTTGCAAGTTGCAGCAACGTGGCGTATAGTCAGATGATAAGGTAGAAGTCAATGTCAGGGAAGATTGGGGAATCATAAATTCTATCATATCATTATTGAATCCCAAGTTTAATGGTATCCCTTTAGAATCCCATTTTCGTGACAATTAATGGTGTACCAAACAGTCCCTCTCTTGGAAAAGCTCCGATTGTACAGCAATCCCCTCTTGATAAGCTCCATGGAGAGGAAATGAAATGCATTTCCATGCTGTTAAAAGTCTTAAATTATTATGATTTATCAATTTCATTTATTTCTGTTAAATCTTACTAGGCCTTCTCATTTGAGTCATTTATGACATGATATGGATCTGAAAAAGATTCTCTTCAACCGAATCAACACGGTGGTTGGAACAAAGACCCGTTTGGTTATGAATTCTATCACATCATTATTGAATCCAATTTTATGGTGTCCCCTTAGAACGCCTTTTTTTTTTCATGATAATTAATGGTGTACCAAACAGTCCCTCAATTGGAAAAGTGAAAGACCTCCGATTGTATAAACATTTATCAATCGACTCCATCTTGTCACCCAGATGGAATGTTAACAAGTTTATTTTTAGGCGCTCGATATTGACGTCCCAACAAAGTATTCAGATACTCTAATCGAGTACCTTAATGAAATATTCTTCATATAATGACAATCACATGTATAGTGTACATAGGGTTTTATTTGTAATTTTATTTTAAAGTGTCAACTACATTATTGGAACGTCAATATAAGTTCCTTATATTTTTTATTTTAATTATAATTACAAGTTTGTTTCTTCATTTGTCCTAAAGTGATTCATAGACAACATAGCGCAAGAAATCAGCAAGGACATTTGTTATTGACTTCTTACAGGAAAAAGCACATTAAAAAAAGTAAAAGACAATTGCTTAATCAAGCATTTTGATTGATATATAGTTTGATTAGATGGCTTAATGAACAAAATGACAGCCCACAAATTCTCCCTCCTCTCTCTCTCTCTCTCTCTCTCTATATATATATATATATGTATTGCATGCATATAAAAAGATGACATAATGGTGAAGGGACCTTTTGTGGGACAACTAGGATGAATTGGACAATTCTTGACAACTTATAAGTGGGACATTAGAGGCATAGATAGGTTATAATGCTAGTGGAAGCTTCACTGGGCTAGTGGGCTGTTTGGTGTTTGTTTGTTAGAGATTATCCATTTGTGAGTGTCTTGGAGTGTCCCGTCAAGTTCATTAGTTCGATCATTTCACACATAAACCAGTGCACTGATTAATTAAATATCAAAAGATTAAGACTAAGCTTAAGAACCAGACACAGTCTCCCAAATGTGGCATGTCTAATTAAGATTAGTCAAATAACTTTTCAAATGTTGAGAGCTTAATTCAAGAAATTACTTTGTTCTATAGTAACCCAAAACCCTAGGAGATCGTCGGGCTAGGGCTAGGGACCCTAAGTGGTCTAACAAAATCCAATATAGATAACATTAGGTGTCAAAAATATTTAATAAGATTTGATACAGTGCTTATAACACTCTCCTGTCATGAAATGCGTATAATAAAATAAGATAAACGATTTGTAACATTGGTTAGATATTTTATCAAGTAAATACAAAATCGACACTAACCCATGAATTAATACGAGTTGATCACAAATGTAAGCAAAAGATCCTAGAATTTGGGACTTGTCATGGCTTCTATAGACACTAAGTACAGATAGAGCCAACACAAGCACGAATTTGCTCAACAGAGAGGAGGCATTGTTCACAGTACAGGTTCACAACCAAATGTTGAACCCCAAAAACTGTGCAAATCTTCCAAAACCCAAAAATCTACATTGGAGAAACAGCCTCTTTCCAAACAAGAATTCCGTTTTTTTAAACCCTAGAAAGTTATAGATGTCTCGTGTAGTCCTTGCGAAACAAAAATTCCTTGCAAACTGCAAACATTCCCACAACTTCCAAAATAATTAATTTGTCAAAATAGGTTCGTTCGTATTATTTATTTATTTATTTGGCGCCAACAATAAATAACTGAAAAAGGAAAATAGGTCTGTTCTAATTTTGTTATTTTAGAAAAGAAACTACTACTAAAAAAAGAAACAAACAAATTTTCTCGAAACCAGAGGGTCAATGGTCCACTATCTTATCTGTATTTTTTATATATACTTAAATTTTGATATTTTTAAATAGGTCCCCAGTGAAATTTTATTTTATTTATATTTTTTGTACTCAAATTTTAGTATTTATAAACATGCCCCCACTAAGCTCTTTAAAAAATCAATAAAGACCTTAAGAGAAACTTCTAATATTAATAAAACTTCTTATTTTCTAATTGACTTGCCAACAAAAATTTCAAAATTCAAAAAAATAAAATAAAAACATGTCGTTTCTCTTCCAGCGGGCCTCACAGAACTTTTAATTCTAGTTTTTTAACTGCCAACAAAATTTTTCAAAATTCAAAAAAAAAATAAAAACATGTCGTTCTGTTCAACGGGTCTTACAAAATTTTTAAGAATCAAAATTCAGGAAGAATCGTGGTTCAATTTTTTTCCTCAACTAAATTCCTGTCTCAGTCACTCTCAAGTGATATAGGTTCTGAAAAAAGAGAAAAAATAAATTTTATAAGAAAAAAAGCAAACAAAGGAAACAAACTCTACAAACATTTCTTTATTTCTTTTCTCCTTTAATTGTTCTTTTTTCCCCTCTCAGAAGACCAAATGGGATTATGGGAAAATGGGTTCTGCTTAGATTTTAGATCAACTTTAACTACTTTGCTGACCACAAACATAGATTTTAGAGAGAGAGAGAGAGAAAAAAGCCAAGATACATATATGCAATATCAATATGCATATATCTATAATATAGAGAGAGAGCGTGTGTCTAGGAGAGAGAATTAAGGAGGGGGGTCTTGCAGGCTGTGTTGTTGGGTGACAAATAAAACCCATTGCCCCTATCAAGCTGGGTCGGCCTTGGATTTGGGGTGGGTAAAATGCCGAGAATATATATATAGAGAGATCACTCTCCCCTTCTACTTTATTCTCTTCAAATTCGATACTTTGCTGTACCCGGAACGAGGTTTTGAGGAGACTGGAGAGAATACCTTCTTCTCTCTCTAATTTCTCGCTCTACCCTCTCTCTCTTTATGTCTCCCACATTGTCTGATTCCAACTTCAGAACATAGTTCTACTTTCACACATCAGTGTTGTCCTCTCTGTTCTTTTCTTTCTGAATTTCTCTCTTTCATATCTTCTTCCCTCTTTTTTCTCTCGAATTATCACAGAAGACAAACAACCCAAGTGGGTTCTTTCAATTCCACTTCCTGTTTGGCCCTGAAACCCAAATGCCTAGAAAATGGGGTTTTCTCATTTCCATTAACTGTTCTCTGTTTGTCACCTGAGAAAACAGAGGACTCTGTTCTAATCTCATTCAATCTGGTGAGGGAAATCTCTGTTTTTGTTCTCTTTTTTTCTTCAATCGCTAAATTGGTTCATTTTTCTTCATTTTTACTACATTCTGAGCGAAACCCAGAAGTTCCAATTGAAACAAGAAGAGAAAGATTCAATCTCTTCTTCTGTAAATCAGAGATTTTTATATGTGAAGCTGTGAAACAATGAGAGATGGGAACCCCAAGAAAAGCAAGGTTTGTTTGAGAAATGCCAAAAATTTAATGACCCTTTTACTGATTCGCTTGCCTGCATTGATTGTTGTGTTTGAAACTGCTGACTTTTTTCTGTTATTTGTGAAGCTTTCGTGGCCAAAGACCCTGGTCAAGAAATGGTTTAATGTCAAGAGCAAATCCGAGGACTTTCGTGCAGACGATGCCATTTATGGAGGTTCATCTTCTATGCTCCATTTTGATATTGCCCCAATGTAATTAGGGTTCTGAAATTGGGAATCTGGGTTTTCGTACTGAAAGCAGAAAATGGGTTTTTCTCATAAACTTTTTCACTGACTGGCTTTAGCTTATTCACCATCAACACTGTTTCTTTTGTACCAATAAGAACAATAGTAATTGGATTTTAATGGATTCTGTTATTTCTAATTACAGTTCCTTGTTTTCCTTTTCTTTCTGAAATTCAAGGACTTTTTTTTCTGTTTTCTTTTTTTGATTTAAGTTAAATTGATTTTATTATTATTGTGTTTGAATGTGTGTTTGATTGGAATTACAGTGGAATATGTCTTTTCCTTTTCAGGTGGTGATGAAGAATGGAGGAACGAGTTCTTAGAGAGGGAAGCATGCGCTATCAAGAAAAGCAAGACAGGTCCAGTATCAGATAACCAGTATGCCTTTGGACTACATCACTCTTCAACCCCCCATTGAATTTTACATAATAAGCCTAATTAAGAAGAAAACTTTTTTGTTTTGTTGATCTTTGTTTTTGCCCAACTTCAAAATGTGTCTTATTTTTCTCTCCCCTTTTGATGAATAGAGAGATCAACTAGGAGGAACTCAGATCGTGTTCGGCGGAGTAAGAATGACTTGCAGGCCTCTCAAGTTACAGATGTGCATAACTATGGGTATGTTCTATTATTGTTTTCTCTTGTATTGATTTGCTTTAATTTAAGAATAGGGTTTATTGGTTCTCTCTTTCCTTTTGGGCACAGTATCTTTGTAGCTACATGGAATGTAGCTGGGAAATCTCCTCCAAGCCATTTGAACCTTGAAGATTGGCTTCATGCCTCACCTCCTGCTGACATCTATGTTCTTGGGTAAGATTGATATCAGAAGTTGTTTTTAATCTTTTTTTTCTGTCTATGCAACCTTTGTAATTGAAGCCTCTTTTATACCTTTTGACATTCAGATTTCAAGAAATTGTTCCTTTGAATGCTGGTAATGTTCTTGGCACAGAAGACAATGGCCCAGCAAGAAAATGGACGACACTTATCCGGAAGACTCTAAACAGTCTTCCTGGAACAAGTGGAGGTTGCCACACACCTTCACCAATCCCTGGCCCAATTGTGGAACAAGATGCTGATTTTGAGGGATCAACTAGAGAGAAAGCCTCATTTTTCTTCCAGCGTCGCTCATTCCAGTCCTTGAGTCGCAGTATGAGAATGATGGACAATGACATGCCCATGCCAGAACCTCGACTTGATCGTCGATTCAGTGTCTGTGATCGGGCTACCCTTGGGCACAGGCCAAGTGATTATGACCCAAATTTCAGATGGGGTTCCTTCGATGATGAGAATGGGCTTGGGGATTCGCCAGGCACCATGCACTACTCGCCAATCTCATACAACGAGTCTATTTACATGGAGGACAGAGATAGACAGCCAGGGCATTCAAGGTATTGTTTGGTGACCAGTAAGCAAATGGTTGGAGTATTCCTCACAGTGTGGGTGAAGAGTGATCTAAGGGATGATGTTCGCAACATGAAGGTGTCATGTGTGGGCAGAGGATTGATGGGTTATCTCGGAAACAAGGTACAATTTGCTTTTTGAAAATTTTCTGAAACTTTTAGAGTGAATCCTTAATTAATTAAGCAAAAGCAGTGATTTTGTTCTCTTGAAATTTCCAGGGTTCAATTTCAATTAGCATGTCTCTGCACCAAACAAGCTTCTGCTTCGTTTGTAGTCATTTAACCTCCGGGCAGAAGGAGGGCGATGAGCTGCGAAGAAACTCTGATGTCATGGAAATTCTTAGGAAGACGAGGTTTCCTAGGGTCCAAGGCAATGGGGATGAGAACTCCCCTCAAACAATCCTTGAGCATGAGTAAGGACCTAAAACAATAAATTTTTACATGTTGTCATGATTTATTCTGTTTGAACAAAATTTTGTCATTACTTTACCAACTGCTTCAGTGTCTTAAAAACCTAATTTATGTTTTATCTGAGGTTGTCTCAAATTTCCAAGTTTTGTTTGTATTCTTGTAGTCGAATAATTTGGCTTGGGGATTTGAATTACCGGATTGCCCTGTCTTACCGTTCTGCAAAGGCTCTTGTTGAGATGCGCAATTGGAGGGCTTTGTTAGAAAATGATCAGGCATGTCACACAAACTCTTGCTACACATTTCTCTTCTTGACCTATATATGGAACAGCTAAATATGAAATATTTGATGGCTATTCTGAGCAGCTTCAGATAGAGCGGAGAGGAGGTCGTGTCTTTGAAGGATGGAATGAAGGGAAGATATATTTTCCTCCCACTTACAAGTATTCAAATAATTCAGACAGATATACTGGGGATGACATGCTCCCAAAGCAGAAGCGAAGGACCCCTGCATGGTAAGCCTTCTTTTTACAAAAGAGAAACAAAAATATATAAATATAGCAAACGGAATTCCTCTTCTATCACTGAGTGAGAGACTAGACAATCTAAATTGATACAACTGGATGTAGTTGGTATCATGGATCATCAATGAACACATATATGAAACAATGTAACTTGTGATATTTATAACATTCCTATAAGATGACAATTAATCTAGTTATTATGTTATGTGAAGGTGTGATCGTATATTGTGGTATGGAAGAGGCCTCCATCAAATATCTTATGTTCGCGGGGAGTCTAGATTCTCAGATCACAGACCAGTTTATAGCATATTTGTAGCAGAGGTTGAATCCATTAATCGTAATCGAATCAAGAAAAACACAAGTTGTTCCAGTTCTAGGGTTGAGGTTGAAGAGTTGTTGCCACACTCACGTAGATACTCTGGACTGAATTTTTTCTAAGGAATGGATTCATGTTCAAGTATGCTCTCTCTCTCTCTCTCTCGATTTTTACTGAAGTTTTCTTGTTCTAAGATTCATACTCTATTGATATTTAGGAAGGCATGATTTTCTAACACCAAGATAATGAACAGTCACAAGCTTTGTGGATGCTTCAGGACTATGCAATGTAAGATACTAAAAATGAATCAACTTATTTGTTTGATTGCCATTCCTTGTATTTTTCTTTGTAATTGAAGCAAGTTCTCATGGACTATAGTCATTATTTTCAGGTTGATTCCAAAATATCATGTAAGAATTCACTTTTCTCAATTCAACCTGAGGCTGTCTCCTCAATCAGTAAGGTGATCATTCATTCTGTTTTTCATAATCTATATTCTAGTCTCACCCTTAGGGAAAAGAAAAGCTGCTTTTATCAAATTGGTGACAAGACTTGATAGATATAGTCTGGGGTCCACCTTAGCTTGCTTTCAAGCTGAATAAATTGGATCCACAGACTATGATATATTTATATATCTTGTGGGGCTCCATAGAATTTTGACCTTTTGGCCTCTGAATTGTGGGCTATTTGGATTCACCCCCAACTTTATAAAATAGCATATGTAGTTATTTACACAGGATAAGCATTGTTGTTTTAACATCATCTTCTCTTTTCCATGAAAGCTCAGTTGTGAAGATTTCTTGATTGTTGTTATTCTTTTTGTTTTATGGTCCCCCATTTACAGATCACGTGAAGAAACTCTGCCTCAATGGTGAAAGAGACCTTTGGTTGGTCCCTAAAAGAAGGTTGGCATTTCATTTTTTCCCTTCTTCCGTTGTTTGGGTAGTAATTTTTCTTTGAAAATTTGACTTTCTAATTCTCTCTCTGTGTTTCCTTGTCCAACAGCGACTTGCAATTTTGTAGATAACCACTAACTTTGCAATTCTCCGGCTCACATTCTTTTATCACCGAGTCCAAATTAGCAAAATTTGAAATTTCTGGTTGGAACTTGGATAGAAGCATTCACCATCATGCCTAGCTATTAGGTAAGCGAAGCTAGTTGATGGATTACCATTCATATAATAAATTATATATATGAATGTCTTTTATAAAGTTAAATGCAATTGAGTGTAATTGCATTCTTAACTTTTTTTAATGTTTTTGCAGGACAAGTCGATCGATCCGGGGTGCCAGGTGGCTCAGTGATAGAATTTGATCATAGTTATTTTTTGTAAAAGAAGAAAATGAGAAAAATTGAAAATTGGCTTGCACTGCATAGAAAAGATTATCAAAATAAGATAATATATTTTTTGATATGTTTTACTTGAGAGAGAAATGAGATGTGGATATTCATTACAGTTTAAAAGTGAGAAAGGGGAAGTAGTTATGATGGATATGAAGCTTCTTTTTCTTTTTGCTCTTAAATGATTCTTTCAGAGAAGATAAAGGCTATATACATGATTGTCTTCACTGTTGTTTCACTTTCTTTTCTCTATTGTGGTGTTTGTTTGGAAGGAAAAACACCAATCTTTGCAGTTGGTTGCATGTGACAGATAGCTATGGGAATCTCATAATTTGGATTTTTGGAGAGACTTTCAAATGTATTCTAACTAGTAAAAAAGGAAAAAAGTGAGTTGGATGTTCCTGGTTGTTGATTCATTGTGAGCCATACTATTTCTAAATAAAGTTTTTACTTTTGCCCTCATATACTGATGCTCTACCTTGTGTAAGGTCATTGTCTAGTGATATTCTGTCAATTTAGGGTTTTTGTGATTAGAGAAGGCCAACACTATTTATGTGATCCTATTGTAGTGTTTAGATTCTTTGAAATCTGAGTATGTGAATTGCCTCTAGAATGAGATGATTGTATTTTTGGTGTCTACAGTCTTGCTAGCTTTAGAGCGTTTCTTCTCTAGGTAAATGTTGGATTTGGTACATATTTCTTGTTTTATTTAAAAAGAAACCAGTTTACGAAACCTTATCTCTCTATATATCTCCGCATATGTAGATGATTTCTTAATTCAAACTCGTGATCTCCAAGTCATAATGAAATAACTTTATTGTTGCATGAAGGTTTACAGCGAAAAAGAGATTCAGTGGACTTTGTATTGTCCTAGATGTCTAAGAAAGAATAGAATAATTTATTTATTTATTTATTTTTGTTGTTTAAATTCAGAAAATATTTTATTCAGAATTCTAAAAATCCTGTTAATACTTTTTTTATTATCTCAGAAGAAACTTGAGTGAAATTACTGTAAATTTAGTCAAATTCAACCAAAAGAAATAATAACTTCAAATTTTAGAAAGCTGAAAATTCAGCTAAAAACATAAAATTAAGTTGAATATTAAAAGAAAGATGATACTAGCATTTACACAATAAAAAAAAAGAAAAAAATAATACTACTTGTTGAGGCATGTGTCACAATATTCAATTTATTCAATTGCATCATACTTTAAACAAATGTCACAACTTATTGATTGCAGAATAAAATTCAGGTAAAATCCAACTCATCCAATTGATAAATAATGTTATGAAAAAAAAAAATTGATAAATAATGTTAGATAATGATTAGTGATAACTATCCAAATCATCATAGTGTTAATGTAGGCCATCAAATCCGAGCTTTAGTCTAACCAAAGTCAACTGTGTACACAAACTTCGAAGATTGCTAACTTAAGTAAAAGGCAGGCACATGGAATCGTACAGTGTTCTTTAGTGGATCAGACGGTCCAGATTTTATACTACATGTTTGGACGGTCCCAGATTTAGGAGAGAGAAACCCACACAGCAAGCACTTTGTTCAGATTCCCCAGACAGACTTGACATCTCGCTAAATCTCTTTTTCTTGCATGCCATGGGGAATTGAAAATTCTATTACTCAAAGTTTTGCTCATTTTGTTTATTTTTCAATTAACATTTATTCTATTTATTAGCACCAACATTGGAATCTATACATCCATATTCATTAAAAGTAAATTTAAAAATCAATTAGAAGAAAAAAAACCAAGTCGAATAGGACAACCAATTAATTGATGAAACTGTATCCACTGCAAGAAATTATTAAATAATTTTGGTTTGTTTAATACGTGGTGGACTAATTGAATAATTTAAGTTAGAGTTTCTTTTTAATATATTAGTATACTTTTATGATTTTAATTTAAAATATTTGATCAATCTATCAAAAGTTAATGGAACAAAACTATCTAATAAAATTTTATTCACTAGACCATTCGTGCATATTAATATAGTCATTAATTGCATTATAAACCGTAAGTTACATATGTTTTTTCCCTGTATGGACAATATAACTACACCTTTGCTGAAGCTATATAAATGAGTCAATGAAAATAAAGAAAAGGGAGACACAAAATCAAAGTGGAGATTTGGGTGCATCTTATGTTTTAAAGAACACACATTAGCCAACCTTGGTACCATAAAGAAATCGAAAAAAAGAAAAAGATAAAAGGAAAGGTTGAATTAACTTCCTATTTCAATATAATTATACCTACATGTGTATATTCATACATACATATATATATATATGTATATAATGTATGAGTAAATGTTTAAAATTCATGGCAAAATTGTAAAGACTGACATTATATGTTTTCTACTTGAACATTTTTTACATTATTAACCTATTCTTAATTTCTTACACAAATTATTGAGTGGGAACAAATTTTACATGGTAGTATGATTTCTCAATATGTGTAGACCATGTCCCTAAATTTCAATTTAAATTTTCTTTAACTGGTTACATATCATTTGGACTTGGACCACAATAGAAAAAATTCACTACAATTTGCAACCCAAAAAAAAAAAAAAAAATGAAGCTAGAAACCCCAAAAACATTATGAATATAATTATATAGGGTGCACGGGCCTCTCCATCAAATGCACTAATAGATTTGTATAATTTATTAAAATACCTTCAAGTTGTTATGATAAATGACTGCAGTACTCTTCTATATGTATGAGAGAGGGGAGACGGAGTAAGGGTAATATTGAAATTTTAATTTATTCAGTACATGACATTAGTAAAATTCGTCATTAACTCACATTGACTGTAACAAAAGAGAAGTATGCGTAAGTTTGTTTAATTTTTAAGAAAGGTCCGAATAATTTTTCAAACTATAGGACAAATTTTTATAATTATGATAAATCATAGAAATATATATATATAGTGTGAGCGCAAAGTAATCCTCTCTATAAATATAATAAACTCTCTATAAATATATAATAAACTCTCTAAACTCTCTATATTTATAGTGAGTTTATTATATTTATAGAGAGGATTACTTTGCGCTCACACTTTTAACACCTTTATTTTGAGCAAATTTATCTGTCTACCATTAAAAATGGTAAAAATTACTTTACCCATTAATACAAGAAACATCTTAAAATAGGCAAGGCATACCCACCAAGTGTTGTTCTTCCACGTGTCTTTCTATTATTGGGTGCTCTAATTATCTTACATCAGCCTCGGAGAACCCCAAACTCTCAGTCGGAGCTCTGGTTGCTTACGCCATTTGAGGTGACCAAGGAGGGGTGTGTACTTCTGTCACGTGTTGACCACGTGACGTCTTTGGAACATCATCACTATATATGAAGGTTGGTGTTTGAAACAATCCTTGTACGTTTAAAACTCTCTTAAACATCGTCTTATCTCCCTTATTGATCATCCATTAGTTTCATTCACAAACTGGTAAACATCGAAAACTTTACAGTATGAGTATTTGCAGGGCCGGCCCTGGCCCAAGTTGACCAAGGCTATCGCCTTGGGCCTCAAATTTTAGAGGCCCATAAGAAATGGAAAAACTAAAAATTAAGTTAGGACAAGTCTTGGTCGCCTTGGGCCTCAGGCCCATAGGGGATGGGAAAAAAAAAAAATAAAAAAAAAAAGTAAGGGGAAGTTTCGGATGACACAATCTGCTTCGACACTCCGCAGGGCGCAGCCTCCGCTATCGCCTCAGGTGACAAGGTATGTTCATCCACTCTCTCTCTCTCTCTCTCTCTCTCTCTCTCTCTCTCTCTCTCCTTTTGCATGAATCGATCTTTTAGATATGTTTCTTTCTTTCTTTCATCTCATCATTTGATTTGTTCTAACTTTGGTTCGTTTGATTCGGGACTTTACCTTTGTTCCAATAGTGAAAAGTCGCTTCTAAACTAGGGTTTTTTGTGTGTCACTGTGTGTGATGGCTATCAAAAGCTGAATGAATATATTATGGTTCTCTTAGTAATTTAATAAATGTGTGCCTTTCTACATGTGTCTTTCATGGCGATCGAGTCCATAATCTATGGCAGGTACTTTTTTTTTTTTTTCCCTCCCTAATTCCACTCCAATCTCACACAAGCAGCAACCATACCCCTTTTCGTCATAATTTTTTGCATTTTCACATTCAATCCTACAAAAATTAAGGATCCCTTCTAGTGGGTTGAGCCGTTGAGGTAATAATTAACTTTTTGGATCTCTAAATTTTGCTCATACTTAAAAGTGCCAAAATTAAGGTTTTTTTTTTTTTTTTATATTTTATTTTTATATGAAGGTACATACCACCATTATTGATGTTATGTGAAGTTGGCTCAGCTAGAATTTCAGTTAATAATACTGTCAAAGCACTTGCCATCAGAATGTACAAACACATGGAAATCAAGAGCAGGCTTTAACAAAACAAAAGTTAATGGTATTTCTATTAATTTGCACAGGTCTTCTGTAGCGATGATCAATCAATCACTGCTACTAAAGTTGATTCCTCATCCTGAAATCAAGAAAGGGGTAATTGGCTCCCAAAAACACACACACACAAAGTGTAGTGTAGTTAATATAAAGAGTGAAAGACAAAACTATACATGATAGTGGATGCCACATATAACCTAAAAGTCCCACTACGTTTTCAGTACTACAAGTTCAGCCTCCTATATATATATAGTCACCTCATCTCCACATATTTTTGTCATCTGTAATCATCAAATTTTAGTAGCTATATAAACAATGAATGTAAAAGAAGCTGCAGTTGTCTATGCTCTTGTAAACTGTTCTCTTAAATTTTTATTTTGTGCCTGTGAAAATTTCCCACTCTTTAATTGATAAATTTATTGTTATTAGTTAGCTGTCTTATGCACACTGCACATGCGCGCGATTATTTATTGATGATGATAGATTTATAGTTATTAGTTAGTTGTCTTATGTAAACTGCACAGGCGCACAATTATTTATTGGTGGTGATAAAAATTTATAGTTATTAGTTAGTTGTCTTAAGCACACTGCACAGACGCACAATTATTTATTGGTGGTGATAGATTTATACTTATTAGTTAGTTGTCTTATGCACAATGTACAGACGCACAATTATTTGTTGGTGGTGATAAATTTATAGTTATTAGTTAGTTGTCTTATGCACAATGCACAAGCGCACAATTATATTAGCTATAGAATTTGAAAACATCGTGTTAAAATTTCGCACTCTTATTTTTTTTTTTTTTGCGCGTGTGAAACTTAAGGGTCTCACATTTGAAAGTTTGGTTAGGGTCTCTCAAAATATTTGGAATCTCAGGGCCGCCCTGAGTATTTGAACCCGGTTTATGAAGTCTGCGAGGAACCAATGTGGATTTGATTTTACCACTCTTAAAGATGCACTCGCACTGTTTGTTCAAATGTCTCAAAGGCGACCTCTTCCTTCAATTGTGCGTTTTACTCGATTGATAGGGGCCATTGTCAGAATGAAACATTACACCACTGCAATATCTTTGCTTAATCAAATGGAATCCTCTCGAATGTTTGAGCCAAACAAGTATACTCTAAGCATCTTGATGAATTGTTATTGCCATTTGAATCGGGTCGATTTCGGTTTCTCTGTTCTGGGGAGAACTTTGAAGCTTGGTTATGAAGTGGACTGTACGATGCTCAACACTTTGATGAGGGGGCTATGTAGTAAGGATAAACTAGGCCAGGCGGTAAAGTTGTTTAATGACATGGCGGCGAAAGGATTTCGACCTAATGCAGTTACTTGTGGAACGATTATAAATGGGTTGTGCAAAACGGGGAACACCAGAGCGGCTATTGAGTTGGTTAAGAAGATGGAAGAGAGAAATTGGGTTGCTGATGTTTTTGATTATAGCATGATCATTGACAGTCTTTGTAAGGATAGACTGGTAGCTGAGGCTTTTGTCTTCTTTTCAGAAATGATCCGTAAAGGCATTTCCCCCAATGTTGTCACTTACAACTCCTTAATCCTTGGCCTATGCAATTCAAACCAGTGGAATGAGGCTACAAGGTTGTTGAATGAAATGGAGAACAAAAAAATCAAACCGGATGTAAGAAGCTTCACTATATTGGTGGATGCACTTTGTAAGGAAGGGAAGGTTGCAAAAGCAGTAGAAATAGTGGACGTAATGATTCAACGAGGTGTGGAGCCTAATACAGTCACTTACAGTGCACTGATGGATGGATATTGTCTGCAAAACAAATTTCACAAGGCAAAGAAGGTACTTGATTTGATGATTGGTAGGGGTTGTGCCCCTGATGTTCATAGCTATAGCATCTTGATTAATGGATATTGTAAGAAGCGGAGAATGGATGCCGCTCTAAGACTTTTTTATGAAATTTCTCAGATAGGATTGGTTCCTGATATTGTTACTTACACCACTCTTATACGTGGTTTCTGCCATGCGGGAAAACCTCTAGTTGCGCAACAACTTCTGAATGAGATGCGAGCCCGTGGCCAACATCCTAATCTTATGACCTACTCTACTTTGTTAGATGGATTGTGTAAAAACCAATGCTTAGCTGCAGCAGTGGCTTTGTCTCGAGACATGGAAGAAAGTGGAATGCATCCTAATATTGTGGTTTATAGCATCCTCATTGATGGTATGTGCAGAGCTGGAAACATTATAGCTGCAAGGGAACTCTTTTATAGTCTTTCTTCCAAAAGGTTGCAACCTGATGTTCGCGCATATACCATTATGATCAATGGTCTTTGTAAGGAAGGGTTGTTAAGCGAAGTAAACGCGTTGCTCGAGAAAATGGAAGAGAATGGTTGCTCACCAAATGGTTTCACTTACAATATAATTGTCCAGGGATTTCTTAGAAACGATCAGACTTTAAGGGCAATGCAACTTCTTCAAGAAATGGTTGAGAAAGGATTCTCTGCTGATGCACGTACTATGACTCTATTATTGAAGTTATCAAATAATAGTGGATTGGATCAGTCAGTTTTGGAGATGCTCAATAAGATTCTGTGATCTCTTTTAGGTTTTCTCATGTTAGGTGGAAGTTTCATATTTTGTTGGCCTTGTAGTGTGCTGTATGTATGGCCTATAGATGCTTGCATCAGTGTCTTTTTCCTGTTTTGGGGGTGAAATTATTGTTCCATGAGAAGTACGAAGGAGAGAACCTGAGTTGGGTGAGGTTGGGGAACTTAAGAAGAATGCCGGAGGGATTTGTATAAAACTGGTTGACTAGATGGGATAAGGAAGGTGGTTTGGTGAATCAGAAGCTGTTTTTAATCTTTGTTCTGTATGTGCAACTTTTGTGATTGAAGCCTCTTTGATACCTTTTGACATTTAGATTTCAAGAAATTGTTCCTCTAAATACTGGTAATGTTCTCGGCACAGAAGTCAATGGCCCAGCAAAAAAATGGACGACACTTATCCGGAAGACTCTAAACAGTCTTCCTGGAACAAGTGGGAGGTTGCCACATACCTTCACCAGTCCCTGGTCCAATTATGGAACAAGTTGCTGATTTTGAGGGATCTACAAGACAGAAAGCCTCATTTTTCTTCCAGTGTCACTCGTTCCACTCCTTGAGTTGCAGTATGAGAATGATGGACAATGACATGTCCATGCTACAAGCTCAAATTGATCGTCAATTGAGTGTCTGTGATTGGGTTACCCATGGTTACAGGCCAAGTGATTATGATCCAAATTTCAGATCGGGTTCCTTCGATGATGAGAATGGGCTTGGGGATTAGCCAGTGAGTGTATTTCCATGGAGTACAGAGATAGACAGCCAGGGCATTCAAGGTACTGTTTCGCGACCAGTAAGCAAATCGTTGGAGTATTCCTCAGAGTGTGGGTGCAGAGTGATATAAGGGATGATGTTCGCAATGTGAAAGTGGTGTGTGGGCAGAGGACTGATGGGTTATCTTGGAAACAAGGTACAATTTGCTTTATGAAAAAATTCTTTAACTTTTAGAGTGAACCCTTAATTAATTAATGCAAAAACGGTAATCTTGTTCTCTTGGAATTTCCAGGGTCAATTTCAATTAGCATGTCTCTGCACCAAACAAGCTTCTGCTTTGTTTGTAGTCATTTAACCTCTGGGCAGAAGGAGGGTGATGAGCTGCGAAGAAAATCTGATGTCATGGAAATTCTTAGGAAGACGAGGTTTCCTAGGTTTCATGGCAATGGGGATGAGAACTCTCCTCAAACAATACTTAAGCATGATTTAGGACCTAAAGCATTAAATTTCATATGTTATCATGATTCTTTCCATTTGAACAAAAAATTGAATCAGTATTTTACCAACTGCTTCAGTGTCATAAATACCTATTCTGTGTTATAAATACCTATTCTGTGTTTATCAGAGGTCGGAAATTCAGTTGAAACTCGCTCTTTAGCTTGTTTTGCTCAAAATTCCAAGTTTTGTTTGTATCCTTCTAGTTGAATAATTTGGCTTGGGGATTTGAATTACCGGATTGCCCTGTCTTACCGGAGAAAATTTTGATTTATTTTGTGGCTATTCTGAGCAGCTTCAGAGTGGAGAGGAGGTCGTGTCTTTGAAGGATGGAATGAAGGGAAGATATATTTTCCTCCCACTTACAAGTATTCAAGTAATTCAGACAGATATACTAGGCATGACATGCTCCCGAAGCAGAAGCGGAGGACCCCTGCATGGTAAGCCTTCTTTTAACAAAAAGGCCAAAAATGTATAAATATAACAAATGGAATACCTCTTCTAGCACAGAGTGAGAGATTAGACAATCTAAATTGACACAAGTGGATATAATTGGCATCATGTATCATATATGAACGTATAGAAACAATGTAACTTATGATCGTTGTAACATTCTTATAAGATGACAATTAATCGAGCCATTGTGTATGTGAAGGTGTGATCGTATATTGTGGTATGGAAGAGGCCTCCATCAATTATCTTACATTCGTGGGGAGACTAGAATCTCAGATCACAGACCAGTTTATAGCATATTTCTACCAGAGGTTGAATCCATTAAACATAATCGAATCAAGAAAAGCACGAGTTGTTCCAGTTCTAGGGTTTAGGTAGAAGAGTTGTTGCCATACTCACATAGATACTCTTGACTGAATTTCCTCTAAGGAATGGATTCATGTTCAAGTATGCTCTTTCTCTTTCTCTCACTCATTTTTTGCTGAAGTTTTCTTGTGCTAAGATTTGAACTTTATTGATGGTTAGGAAGGCATGATTTTCTTGCACCATGATAATGAATTTGTGAATGCTTCAGGACTATGCAATGTAAGATACTAAAATTGAATCAACTTCTTTGTTTGAATGCCATTCCTTGTATTTTTCTTTGTAATTGAAGCATTTTCTCAACGGACTATAGACATGTTTTCAGGTTGATTCCAAAATATCATGTAAGAATTCACTGTTCTTCTCAATTCAACCTGAGGTTGTCTCCTCAACAGTGAGGTGATCATTCTTTGTGTTTTTCATAATGTATATTCTATTCTCACCCTTGGGGAAAAGAAAAGCTGCTTTTGTCAAATTGGTGACATGACTTGATAGATATAGTCTAGGGTTCACCCTAGCTTGCTTTCAAGCTGAACAAATTGGATCCATAGACTATGATATATTTATATATCTTGTGGGGCTACATGGAATTTTGACCTTAGAAAATAGCATAAGCATTGTTGTTTTAACATCAGCTTCTCTTTTCCATGAAAGCTCAGTTGTGAAGATTTCTTGATTGTTGTTATTCCTTTTGTTATATGGTTCCCCATTTGCAGATCGTGCGAAGAAACTCTGCCTTGATGGTGAAAGAAGAACCTTTGGTTGGTAGCAACCCTAAAAGAAGGTTGGCCTTGCTTTTATTTCACTTTTTCCTTCTTCTTCCTTTGTTTGGCCAGTAATTGTTCTTCCAAATTCGACTTTCTAATTCTCTCTATGCCTTTCCTTGTCCGACAGCGACTAGCAATTTTGTTAATAACCACTAACTTCACAATTCTCTGGCTCACATTCTTTTATCACCGAGTCCAAATTAGCAAATTTTGAAATTTCTGGTTGGATAGAAGCATCAAGGTCAAAGCTAGTTGATGGATTACCATTCATATAATAAATTATATCTATGACTTCTTTTATAAGATTAAATACATTTGAGTGTACTTGCGTTCTCTTAACTTCTTTTTATTTATTTATTTATTTTTTATAATGATTTTGCTGGACGAGACCAATCAATCCAAGGTGCCAGGTGGCTCACTGATACAATGTGCGCATCATATATATATATATTGTTAAAATAGGAAAATGAGAAATATGGATAATTGATTTATACTGCAAAGAAAAGATAAAAGATTATCAAAATAAAAATGTATATTTCTTGATTTGTTTTACTTGAGAGAGAAATGAGATGTGGATTTTCATTCATTACAGTTCAAAATTGAAAAATGGAAAGTTGAAGTTATGATGGATATGTAAAGCTTCTTTTTCGTGTTGCTGTTAAATGATTCTTTCAGAGAAGAAAAAGGGTATACACATTGATTGTCTCCACTGCTATTTCACTTTCTTTTCTCTATTTGTTTGGAGAGAAGGAAAAAACCCACTCTTTGCAGTTCCTCACGGGTCACTTAGCTGTGGGAATCTCATAATTTGGACTTTTGGAGAGACTTTCAAATATATTCTTACCTGGAAAAAAAACAAAGTGAGTTAGGTGCTCCTAGTTGATTCATTGAGGTCATTGTCTAGTGATATTCTGTCAATTTAGGGTTTTAAAGATTTCAGGCAATCTAATAACTTCAGAAGGCCAACACTATTTACAGGGTATTGCGTATGGACTGGGATGTGAACTGATGATGTATAGTAGTAGTACTAAATATTCTTTTTTGGACCTGGGTTATAGCCCAGGTAGGTTAGCCCTTCAGTAGCTCCGCCCATGACTATTTATGTGATCCTATTGTGGTGTTTAAATTTTGTGAAATCTGAGTCTGAATTGCCTCTAGGTTGGGATGATTGTAATCTTAAAACATGTTTTGTTTTTTTTTTTTGTCAAGTTACATGACGGTGATGGTTTCCACTTATTTTTGGTACGGTCTTGCTAGATCTAGTGTGTGTTGGACATAACACTATATGCAAATGATCGTTTGACAGTGAACTTCTAATTCAAGGCTTCATGCAAATAATACATTCAACGCTACATGCAAATAATACGTTTTGCAAAGCAACGCTCCATACAAATAATACTTTACGCTTTCTGAATTCTAACCTAATTGACTATAGCCACGTAATCAATATGAAATTCCTCCCCTTCTATAAAGAAAGTCGGCGCAATAGAGAAAATTCACTATCAGGATACAACGGTCTCTATTGTTGTAATCTAACATTGCACAATTCACCACAGCCCCAAAAAAGTGCATAACATAGAGTATCCAAAAGTAATTTGAAAATTGAAAGACAAATAATTCTGAAAGTACATGCTACAGAAGGTACATGAACAGTTAATCTTTAACAACCGAGTGTTCCTTGTCTAGGTAAATATAGGACTTGAATAGGTCTGGATTTTTGTACTGAGAGACATTGTTTCCTGAACTATAATCTGGTATAATGGAAGAACTTTACCTTAAGTCAAGAAAGAATAAACAAAATTTGATTTTTTTTTTTTTTTAAATTCAGAAAATATCATATACATAATTCAAAAAACCCTATTAATAAATTTTTATTATCACAGAAGAAACTTGAGTAAATTTGCTGTAAATTTAGTCAAATTCAAAAATTTGAGAAAGCTGAAAATTTAACTAAAAACTTATAATTAAGTTGAATATTAAAAGACGCTTAACCTTTCTTAACGTTTATCGCAAAAAATATTACTTTAGATTCTCCATCACTTGTCCTACTCTTGAAATTAGATAATACTCTTCAAATTAAACGTATTGATAGACTTTCTATTTCCACTTTACATTTCTATTCCCTTCCGATAGATTTTTACTTTTAGTTTACCCCAATTTCTCAAATATTTCATTGTACTTTTCTTCTCAAGTTTATAATCAACAATCATGCAATGAATTCGTCACACCATTGTTATGACGCAAATCTACTATATAAATAAAAATCGAATGATCTGTCCGTGAATTCTATTCTCCTTCTCATAAATATTTCATTTTCATAATTATTCATTTTATATGTTGATTTTGAAAATTTTATGATAAGTTTTGACATTAATATCCATTATTAAATAATATATTTCTTTGGTGAAATTTATTATTTTATATATATGTATGTTTTAATATAGTATCTTTTATAATAATATTATGTGTAGAAGATATTCAAGGCAAAAAAATAATATATACAACATTCAGATTTC